GCAGTCTGATAGGTACTTACATTCCTTGCTCTGAGGGCTCCCGGGGCTCTGGTAGCTCAGACAGCCAGTTTATGATGTCCGGGCGCAGCATCATCTTCCAGCTCCCTGGGAACTTCTTGTTGGCAAAATCGTTAAACCAGGCAAGGATGATCAAAGACGCGCGCGGCTGGCGAAGCATAAAATCTTCCGTCATGAGGATCACACCCCCATGAGGGAAGATCCGCTGGATATGTGTTTTGTGTCGCACGTACTGGAGAGGAGTCGCGAGTGACAAGTTCCAGAGTGTAAATTTGCCTGAGAGGATCTCTCTGAAGGATGGCAGTGTATAATAGTCGACGAAACTCTCATGGAACTGAGCAGATGTTAGTGCTTCCAGGTTTTATATACAAAGACCAAAATAGCTTATAGACGAGGCCGTACCACAATGACGCCGGCCTTGGACACGGCAAACTTCTTCCAGTCTTCCGGTAGGTGATTGGAGAACACCACTGCATTGTTCTTGTCGAGAAACGCCTTGAGAATCTGGTATTCTTGTTGGGTGGTTTCGTTCCCCTCTGGGAACATAAGATAGAAGCTCTGGCTACCGCTCGCCATATTGACAGCCGCCAGAGATTTAAAAGTGATCCCGAATTGTGTCATGAAGAGTTCGCTCAAGTCAAACCCTTCAACAGGCGGTAAAGGACGCTCGGTAGTCTGAAGGACTGCTGCTTCAGGCTCCGGGGCACGTGCGACAGGTGGAGTGGGTCGGATGGGTAAGACAGCGGGAGGAGAAGCGGGAGGAGGAAGAGAGGATTGAACAGGTTCGGCAGAGGGAGGAGATCCAGGAGTATTAGAATCGAGTTCCATGGGTTCTGACATAGCTACCGGGTCGTCGCGGGGTGGATTTGTATCTTGGGGCGAGAAAAATGATCCGGGTTTGTTGCTAGGTGTATTTGTATCTTGGGGCGGGTGAAGTGCTGCTGGGCTCTTGGTGTTGGCCGCCAGTATAGTGTTTTCCTGTGATCTTTTTGACGTGACGCGCTGAGTAAGATTTGTCTGCAAGGGAGCCGTCGAGTCACTGTTTCTGTGAAGGTCTGCTTGGGAAGAAGGGTTGTGCCAAGACATTCTGTGAGGTATAAGTGTGTTCGTGATCCGTGACATTCTTTCATGAGAGATAGATTCGTCTACCGGACTTTGCAAAGACTGCTGATGCTCGCGCAATGAGGGAATCTTTTTCTGAATACGACCCAATGTGCTCCGTACGACAAAGTGAAGAGGTGACTGTGGATCATTCTGCATGCCATCACTGAGGAATCCAAAGCCTGTTGAGCTAGGTGGATAGACAAGAACCACGTTGAACGGATACCTGTCAGATGCAAATATTCCCACCATGTTTCTATGTTGTAGGAAATCTGCAAACTTCACGAGATTCGATTCTGTATCTTCATATGCATGGACTGACCCAGTGCAATACTTTTGGTTGGCAGACTGGTCGACGGTTAGGTAATGTATAAACAAGAAAAGTGATCCCTGTGCTTCACCCTTTTCTTTGATTCTTGTGTCTGCTTTGTTGTCCGGACAAAGAAAAGGTCATGGATTATACCCTACTTACATTCAAGCATAACCAGTCATACTCATCAAGCGAGCAGAGGTACTGAAACCACAAGTCCACTTCGCCATCTCTCTTGCAAGTCATAATATTCTTTCGACTGTAAGGACTGAGACCAGCCAATCTGACATTTCCAATTGGGGCCTTTAGTGGGCCATAATGCATAGTGATGAGAAGGTCGCCTGGGTCCAGAAACCGCTTCACTCCGTTTGGCGAAATAACATATTTGCCACGGGGTTCCCGCGATGGTTCCCACGGTCTGTCAGACCTCGAATTACGAAAGCGGTCTGGGCGATCAGCGTCAGTCGGAGTCCAATTAGATATCTCGTCGTCTCTTCGAGTATCAAACTCCGGATCACGAAAGCGGCTTGGACGATCAGCGTTCATCGGAGCCCGATCGGACACGTCGTTTCTTCGAGTGTCGAACCTCGAATCACGAAAGCGGTCTGGGCGATCAGCGTCCGTCGAAGTCCAATTAGATATCTCGTCGCCTCTTCGAGTATCAAGCCTCGAATCACGAAAGCGGTTTGAGCGATCAGCGTCTATCGGAGGCCGATAGGATACCTCGTCGCCTCGTCGAGTGTCACGTCGAGAATCGGACGGTGACGGTCCTGCAGGCGATTCGGTTGTGTCGTTTTCCGGATGACGACGGGCCTCCGTTAGAGACTCGCTTTCAACGGTTGTCCGGGCCTTGTAAGGGCCAAGTTTTGCTGCATTGGGATTCGACATGGGAGTCCACTTCGACGGCGGTACGAGGTCCAGCTGATCGATATTCGGAGGAGGTTCGTCTCTCTTCGCTTTTTCATACCTCCACCTGGTCGACAGACTAAATCGATTGTTTGGGTCGGTGTTGAACGCCTTCCTGGCCGTTTGAGGGCGTTTTTCACTGGCATTTCCAAACAGAATTGGTGGCAGAGCTGGCTTTGACGGCTTTGGCTGTGAGGAAAGGGCCGCTTGAGCATCATGGGATGATGTCGCTTTGGTGACACGCTGACTGGCAGCATCGGAGTGAGACCCCGTCAACGGTACATCGGACGTTCTACGCTCGTTGCTGACGATTCCAATGGGTTGACGAGGAAGGCCCAGGCTTTGTCTCTTGGCTGCCCTCTTTCGTTTTCTCTCCTGGCTGGCTTCCTCAAGAGCGAATACGTGGTTTTCCCATCTGATGATATCAAAGGGTTGACGCCTTCCTTCCTCGATGGCACGCTTCGTCCTCGCCCAATCCGCCAGGGTCTCGGGCGTGTTGAACGAGTCGGCCGGCTCCCAGGAACAGCGTTCTATGGGATAGCCTCTCCATTTTACAAGATATTGGGGATGACCATCCGGAGCCTCCAATTCACCCAAGATGGACTCCACTTCATATTCTGAGAGTTGTTCACTGGGGGTGGGAGAAGTGAGGGAGATTTCATCGTCACTCTTGCCCGTCATTGCGCGTGCCCATGACAAGGCGCTCAGAATTGAGGCTCAATTTTTCCCACGAAACGGGGGCAGATCATCAAGGAATGTCCGCAGTGGAATCATGGAACAGAAGGGCAATGATAAAAAGAGAGAGAGAGTTGAAAACGGTTAAGATCACCACCTCTATGATAGACAATCCCGTTATCACCGCCCAGGCGTTAGGGGACTTTGGACGGTCAAACCTTTTGAATTATTTGATCAGCATGTCCAGTACAATAAGAGAGACAGACAGCAGACGTGAGTTATATAAAGCTTCATTTAATCAACATCAACTGTTTATTAGTGTGTCTCCTGATCAGGATATAAATCTCGAAGTATTGACATCAATACAATTGATAGTCCGCGCACTACAGGACGAAGACAGCGACCGGGGGCAGCACGTGATGGCACGCTAACCGGAAGGAGCCTAAGGCATTCGGCACAGCGATGGGAGCATCTCTGGATAACCTCCTCCTATCCTCCTATTGTCGTGCTTTTGTCTGTCTCCTTTGCCTACTTCTCCCTCTTCTATCTTCCTCCTTGCGATCTTTCTTTTCACTTCAACTCTTGGCTGTACGTATACTGATCTCTTTCTCTTACTTTCTCTTCTATTCCTGTTTTATTGAGTGGGATTCGGGTTTTGTTTGGTCCCGTACAGTGCTAACTGTTATCCCCTCTCTAGCGACCACTGCTCACCCTGTTGGTGTTCCCTACGTCCATCCCTATCTCCTACCTCCAGTCTTACACCTTCTAGACACCGTCAAACCTCCACCCGCAAACAAAACACCCTTCATCATGGCTAACGACGAGTATGATGTGAGTACTGTCCCCTCCGTCATCCCTGTCCGACTATCTGGGTTATAACTAATGGGGTCGATCCGCCAGTTTCTCTTCAAAGGTAATGTTGCCACCTTCTGCCCCCGCGCAGCCACCGCAACCACCCCCCTTTCTCGCTCTTTTTCCCGGTCGCTCGAGAATATCAAGGATAAATTTTGATGTGATTTGGGATAAAAATGAAAAGAGTGTAAACAAAGGAGACTAAAGGCCTTGGACTGACCGATATGTTGGCCAACAGTGGTGCTGATTGGAGACTCCGGCGTCGGAAAGTCCAACCTGTTGAGTCGTTTCACTCGCAATGAGTTCAACTTGGACTCCAAGTCTACCATCGGTGTCGAGTTCGCGACCCGCTCCATCCAGGTCGACTCCAAGACGATCAAGGCGCAGATCTGGGATACCGCCGGTCAGGAGCGTTATCGCGCCATCACCTCCGCCTACTACCGTGGTGCCGTCGGGGCCCTCCTTGTCTACGACATCAGCAAGCACCAGACCTACGACAACGTCAACCGGTGGTTGAAGGAACTCCGCGACCATGCCGACTCCAACATCGTCATCATGCTGGTCGGAAACAAGAGCGATTTGAGACATCTGCGCGCCGTGCCCACGGAGGAGGCCAAGCAGTTTGCCAGTATGTTTGCGCTTGAATAGCTTAGCTCGGAGGATTGATCTCATGCTAATCACTCGACCAGGCGAGAACAACCTCTCTTTCATCGAGACCTCCGCTCTCGACGCCAGCAACGTGGAGCTGGCCTTCCAAAACATCCTCACAGGTTCGCTCCCTTCCCCCGCGCACATGATTAAACTAGTTACTGACACACCTAGAAATCTACCGTATCGTTTCCAGCAAGGCTCTCGAGGGTGGGGAACAGATCAACGTGGGCAACCGTGAAAAGATATCGATCGAGAACACCCAGGATTCGGAAGCCAAGCCGGGCTGCTGCTAGAGCGTTGGCCATGTACCCGCGACGAGTTTATTTTTCTTTTTTGATGTGATAATCGAATGGTCTTTGAACTTTCATTTTGTCATTTGCTTAGCCTCCACGGAGATGATACACAAGAGGGGACATTGTTTTCGGTCATGGGCCGTTGTATGACGCACCACACTAGCTTTTTTTTTCCCTTGTTCTTTTTCTTTCTGACCTTTGTTTTCTATCCTCTTACGTCTTTTCTTTTTTTCTTTCATTTTCCCCCATGATTTGTCTGAAATTGATATTATCTTGATTATCGGATTCATGTCTGCTGGTCTCTCACCTTATCTGGTTCCGGCTAGTTTACAGGGATTCGGTTACGTTACCGGCGTTGTTGAAGAAGTACATACATTACATACATTGATTGGTCTAGTGTTTGGTTTGTTCTTTGTCCACGATAATGAAACCCCCCTACCGAGTCACAAACAAGCAAGACGTAAGGGTGAATGAGGTTGAGGCCACATGGCGTCGAAATAAAAATGCTTGGTAGACCCCACCATAGCCCAAATCTCCGAAATGATAACTGCTCACCGCAATTAAAGCCGAGGAATCTAGCCCACCCTTTTTTTTCCCACAGATATCAGCACCACAACCCTTATTATCAGTATCAATCCATGCAAATCCCAACCATGATATAATTATCGAGAGGAAGTCAGAATACTGCCAATGGCAATACGAGCATTAATAGCAGTAACAACCAAAGTCCAACACCGATGACGACGACCTGGACACAATAGGCCCACCGCAAGCGGAAGAGACCCAGCCCCACGCCTACCAGAAGGGGGGGCTGAACCATGGTATGAATCCGGTGCTGTACGCGTTAGCTACATACCTACAATAGCTATAGTATACTATAGTAGACAAGAAGTGACATGCATCCCTGAGGTAAAATCATGGCTGTTGTCCGCTTTGATCTACTATCAGTGTGATGAGGGACAGGCCCATCATAAGCCTGTCTTTGTCTTCAGGTCCCGAGTAATGGGAATAGGGTAGGGTATCTAGCGATTCAATTAATATAATACATAGATAATAGATACCTGCATGAAAGAATAAGGTAGGTATGTTATATAATGATCTCACCGACTCAACGGCCCCAAATAAAATTAAACACACTACACTACCTACCAAACAAAGTAACAACGTATACCATAGCAGTCCCCCTTACCAAAGACCCAAAAAGCAAGTCACTACAGACAGTAGCAACTATTATGTACTAGCCAGGGACTGTCGTCTCCACCAGACACAAGACTATGTGGATGCATGACCCCCCTTGTCTCCTATCCAGCCACTAATCTTCCAGGGTGTAGTTTAGGGCGCGACGATCAGGGGGGAGGGAAACACCGTTAATGTGTGGTTTTGTTAGTCAATGCTTTAATTTGCACTGCGAACCGAGGGTGCTGGTTAGTGATTACTGGTCGGGGAGGCTTCGAGGGATTCTGGAACGTTTGGTGTGGGACTTGTGGGAATAGTTGTGACTAACATGTCTTTTAGTCTTGTTTCCTTGGTTGTCTTTGTTGTTGGTGTTGTTATGAGTGGATGTGCTGGATGGTAGATCAAATCCGACCGTATTCCCTGGAAAACTTGACTGTTTTGATAGAGACAACAAATGACCAAAGAATCTATCGCTAACATAGTAAGAAGAACTCAACTATCTACTCGCACAACTCCCACCTCTCGGCCAGCAATCGCAGCGCGAAACTCTCCAACATCCTCCCCCCTCTCCGCCATCACCCACTCCAACGTATCCCCAAACGTCTCCCCATTGTCCCGGAACCACTCCCCCAGACTCTGCACGAAGACCTCCACCTGCTCCTTCATCGGCGCATACTCCCGCAGCCACAGCACCTGTCCCGGATCCAGCTTCATCATGTCCTGCACGACGTAGTAATGCGGGATCTCGTCGCCCCAGCCCTCAGCCCCGGGGTCATGGAACAGGTCGTTCCGGAACCGGGATCGATACTTGGCGGGTGATTCCCTTGTGGTCGACGGGTGCGCCGAGTAGAAGGGCTGCTCAGCGCGCTTGTCGGGACCAAATGTCGACCCGGGGTCGGGGCTGGGGTAGTTGAGGTGGATGTTGAACGCCAGCTGGTGGTTGCCCTCGGGGTATCGCTTGCGGAACTTGCGCTGGATGGTCCCGTTGCTGGGGCAGATGTGGTTCTGCACGACATCCCCGACGACGGCCCGCACGTCCTCAATCTCCGCCAGCTCCCCCGGCGACCAGTTATGCAGGAGCTGGGCGCGCTCGTGCACAACGGCGCGCAGGTTGCGCGAGAAGCGGTCGTAGGCGCGCGTGTGGAACGCGCGGTGATACAGCCAAAGACGGTAGAGTGCGCGGCGTAGACGAAACCGCTCTAGAGACGTCAGGGAGCGGCGATTCTCGTAGTCGATCCTCCACTTCTTGACGGGGTAGATGGTTTCCCATTTCTGCGCGACCCGTCCTATCCGCACCATTTGCTTCAGCATCGGGTCTGAGATCGGCGCCGTCCGGGCGACGTGTGCGGGCTGGCTTTGGTTTTGCGTTACGATCTGGGCGATGTCGTGGAGGGGACCGAATTCCCTTTCGGCTACATCTGCGAGGAGCTGGAGCTTGTTGGAATGACGGTAGACGTGGTGGAGGCGTCGGGTGGTCAATGCAAGGTTCAATACGTCGTGGATGCTTTCGCAGGAGCGAAATATGTGGAGCAGGAGCTCTGTGGCTAGAATGTTGAATGACATGGCTGGTTCTATGCTTGTGGGATATACTTTGCTTCGTCAGCGTTGAACGTTTGTGGTTCAATGGTCACAGCACTCACATTGCTAAAAGATGGATGTAGGAGTATTTTGGAATATTATGAAATCACTGAAACTAAAGGCGATTCGTTATGTGTCTGGTACACTGTGCACAGCGTTGCTGATTGAGTCAACGCTGCTGTCGCAATCGAGTCGGAGACCTAAGTCGCGACCCCGCTCTTGGGGCTGTCTGAACTGAAAAGGGACTTGATAAAAAGCTGAGTATGCATGATGGAGATGGGCGTGTGACATTGCAGTAGCCACCGAGGGCTAGATAACGAAGTTGATGCCATGATGCTTGACGAAGGGGTGTAATGACGACGGCGTCGCGCTGCTTATAAGGCGCCGTTATCAGGCGCTTATCTAATCACTCCCCAGAGGCCAAGATCCCATCAATTCCTACGAGAAAAGTACGGAGGGTATGAGGACTATAATGTGGCTCAGTACTGCTCGACAGTGGATTGGCGAGTATCACATCTATACAGACATTGGATCACATAGACGACAAGATTGAACACTGATTACATCAACAGACTTTTGTAAATTCACACCAGACGCCAGAACAGGACCGCGATTATTGGATCCCATGCATCAATCACATGTACATCCCCTGAGGATATCAAGTCTAATAGCCTTTGGACCAGAGAGGGAAAAGAAAAAAAGAAAATGCAGCAGTAAAGGGGCAAGGAAATCATCCAAACAGCTTCTTCGTATCCAGCGCACCGGGCTTCCGGCCCTCCGCCAGACCCAGCGTCGACCGCTTCGTGACCCGGTCGGTCTCCGCTTCCCGACGGTTGACGTGGCGAGCTGCCTTGCTCACGCGGATCTCGGAACGGACCTGGTTGGGGCTGACGTATTCCTTGTTTTCGTAGATGACCGGACCGCCGAAGCTGCCCTCCAGGATGACGATGGGCGTCAAGACGAAGCGCGGCCCAACCTCAACGAGAGACACCTCCGGCTGCGCATCCTTGCCTTTGGGAGCGGGCTTCGCCTCGCCATCCTCCGGCTTCTTAGCCCCCGCTTCCACCTCCCGGATCTCGTAGACACGGATCCAGATCTTTCCATCAACGCCGAAGATGCCAATGATGCGATCGATGAACGGCTTCATGCCCTTGACACCGCGCTTGGGGACGCAGAACACGCCGCGCAGCATCTCACGCACCAGGCCACGGTACTCGTTGCCGGGCTTGCTCATCTCGGGGCCCTGTTCGTCGAAGGACTGGTCGAACACCACGAGGCCGCGGCCGCCCTTCAGGCAATTCCCGCTGAAACCGGCGTTCAGCTCACCCATAGTGTGCAGGTTGTTGACATGGAACTTCAGCGTGGGGCCGTTGGGGGGACGAGACAGCCACAGGTACAGATCTTGGCCGCGCTTGCGGGCCTCGAGGAAGAAGATCACGTTGCAGGAGTGAAGGTCCGCGAGGGAGTTGAGCAGCATATTGTAACCGGCCGTCTTCTTCTTCGTGTCGAGCTTGGTCTCTTTGCAGGCATGGGGAAGTAGACCGGCCAGATCTGAGAGCAAGTGTCGGTGGCTGCATTGAGAAAAAACGAGAGAAAAAATCAGCCCTGTGAATGAAATATGTAATGTTGGGCACGATAAACTTACCGATAGGAAGCACCTCGAGAAGTAAGCATCAGAACGCGAGACTTGGGCATAAATCCAGAAGCAAGCTGCTGTTTGGCGACATTCGCCGCATCTTCGTCCTCGTCCTCTTCGCTGTCGGTGCTATCTTCGTCGCTGAGAAGATCCTCCATTTGAATATCCTCGTCCTCCTCCTCTTCTTCCTTCGCAAGTCTGCGAGCGTTCTTCTTCGACATGGTCTTGTAAACGGCCGCCATTGTGAATTGAAATTAGGGGCAGCTGTGAGGGAAAAAAATTGCGAAGTGGGTTGGGGTAAATACTCTGCGACAAAAAAGCTTCGGCGAAAATCAAAAAAGTTGGGGGCAGAATATTCTGCTCCTTTCACCGCCCTCGTATCAGCGCTCACGTGACACTACCCGAATAGGCAGTTTATCTGTTTGGGCACCTTCAAGCCTCAGGCAGAAATCATATACATTGCTGGAGTACATCTATCTGTCGACAAACTGGGAAAATATATTCAATGTACATTAAAAACAAAGTAAACACGGCTTACCCGGTTCCGGACTACGCCCCGAAAACTCTCTCCAGACCGGAGAAGCCTTCTTGGGCTACTTTCATTCCAGCCAGGCGATTGGCAAACTCAAGGCTTTCCTGGAGGGGAAAGTTCTTGTTGCTAATATGAGTATAGAGGATACCCCCGATGAATGTGTCACCAGCACCGATGGTACTGACAGAAATTAGATAGACGTTCACACAATGCATGTTAGAAGGGCAGAGACTTACTCGACAACCTGAAACCCAGGAGGAGTGTATGCGGAACCGTGGGAAGTCTGGCCAGCGCGTTTATCTAAACCCCAAGCTCCCTCTTGACCCCATGTGCAATATAGCGATGTTCTGGAGACAGTTAGCTCTTCATAGCGGACAAGAATATATTGTATCATACGCCTTGAGTGTTACAGCGGCTTGGCCGTGGAGGCATTCTTGAGCAGATTTGTATCCATTTCCCTATAGCCAGTTGAGTTAGTACATCAAGTTCTCCATAAGATAGTTCGCAATCTTGATAATACTTACCAGCGCCCAGCTTTTAGAGTAAAAGACAATGTCAGCCTCCGCTGCAAGCATCTCCAGCCCCGGCCGTTGAGGTTTCTCCACCTCCACGCTGACAGCCACGTCAGGAAGTTGCTGTCTCAGGTAGCGTATGCATTCCACAGTCACATCGGGAATCCGGCCCTAGCAGCTTGTCAGCCAGCGCCACAAGCAAATCAAAAATATGATCTCACCTCAAAATGAAAAAGCCGCGAGTACTGGCCCAGGCGGTCCGCAATGCTGGCAAACTCATCGATCTCCATCTCGGGAAGCTCATTGTAGTTGACGATGGTCCTACTCCCAGACGCCTGGCTCTTAATGATATAACTTGACGCAGGCTCGCTGAATTGCTCCCGGTAAATGCAGTGGCTCAAGTCAACCCCTTGGGGTAACGAAGTCTGGACCTGCTGGACCCCCGCCGATGATTTGGTGGGGAGGACAGAAACGAGACCTAGTTGAAGGTCTGTTTCGAAGGGACAGTGCTGGACCAGTTGCTGTAGGACCTCGATGCTGTTGGGGCAGTTACCTCCCCGACGGCGGGTTATGCTACTTGCGCGCAGCTTTTCATCCTCTCCGGGATAGTGGGGTGCTCTGGTGATATCTTTGTGAGAGTGTTGATATGACGTTATGGGCGGGAAACCTACGTGAGGATGGTGTCGATGTAGCATGCTCCGACGCCTATCAAGGCCGACCTTTCTGAGTGCTTGGGGGCTTCTCTCTTCCCATGATCCATGTTGTATCAGTTGAATTGGGCTATGATTGTTTCGACGGTGTTTCCTTCAGGGTGGAGGAGGGGTAAACGCGCATTCATGGCGTTGATACCATATTTGATTAGTCATTAGGGTAAATGTTCCCTCTGTCGATATATAAAAAGAAACAAGACACAACAAAACAAATCCCAAATGTCATTTATTGAACTCCACTAGCCCATACACTAGTATTGTTATTGCAATGTGACCCAGAAAGCAGCTCAAACACAATTATATATACACGCCAACCCCACATACTAAAAATACCGATGAGAAGGGTGGTGGTTCACCTCGACCGCGTACTGTGGACTCTCCACATAGTGAACGTTCGTTGAAATGGAAGCCCGCGGAGGTCGGTTGGGAGCTCCATGGTTCCAATTTCTCTGTACATTATTTCTCTGCCGTCCTTGCGGCGGCTGGGTTGGACCCCTGACTTGTGCATTCTGCGTAAACCGAGAAGGCCCCGTTGGGGTAATGGGCGGTTGTCGTGCTGTCCGATTTGGTCGGCCAAGGGGGTTCCGGTTTGGGTTTGGGTTTTGCTGCCGGTCTGAATTGCCAACGACTGTTTAGTGTCTTGGGGGAATGAGGCATGGGTTGAACTGGACAAGGAACTCACAGGGCAACGGCGTATCCGCCTGTGGGGATGTTGTCTCGCCAACAATAACGACATCATCCTCGAATTCTTCGTCGTCTAATTGATCGTCGTCTTCGTCGCTTTCAATCTTGGGGCTCATATTACCCATCTCTGCGGCTACCTCCTGACGCTCTTCGCGGTACTCCTCTGCCATCTCACACAGGTAGATGAAGCGTCGTCTGCAAAGTCAATGGTTACTGATGGGCGGGACGACGTGCGGCGGGCACAACCCCCGGAGAAACATACCTTAGCATATCCACAGAATATTCCTCTCCTCCCAGTATCTCCGAAAGTTCTTTGAAGTTGGGAACCTTCATGTTCGTCTGGGCAAATATAGCTAGAAGCACCTGACGGTCCCGTCGGTGGTTCCAGCGCTTCCATGTCATGGGAGTGCGCGGGCGTTTGGCGACACTGGATGGCTCCAGTTGCTCTCTCTGTGTGTTCGTTGCCCTTGGTGTATTTGGAATTCTCGGTGTACTCGGCTTTGGAGCACGCCGGTTTCTAGACATTGCGGTTGATAGGCTTGAAAGCCCTATGTACACTGAATATAAAAACGAGCGATTGGAAGAAATGTGGAGGAGGGAAGAACCTACTTTAGAATGCCCACAATTTATACGACCGAGAAACAGCATTATTATCAGACGCGTAGAGGCGCGCGCGCGTCGAAACGCCCAAGCAGTGGGGATGAGCAGAGGAGCTGCGAGCTACCCAGACTAACTCCCGTGGTATAGGACATGTCTAGCATCCATTGGACAATTAGGGCATATTGCAAGGAAGGAAGGGCTGGCCGGAAATACACGGGTTCAGCAAGACTGGTCAGTTGACGGTGTGGTTTTGTATCGAAGACAAATTTACTGTTTATATCCACCGAGTGAATGCGATTTTTTGGGTATTGTGCGAAACGGGGGTAGAGAGCGTGTGTTTGAGCTATCACATTGGCCCACATGGCTGCATGAAGCCAAGCGGATAAAAGCCCTCGATTTGTATTGGTCGGCAATCCTTTCTCCAGGTGTATGGTACAAAGGATACCAATGAAAAAATCATATCTGATGCGTGTCTTCTCATTTGGTTAGTGGAGGTCATTCAGTCAGATAGGTTGGTAGAAGAAATGACTGTAAATAAGTCAGTTGAGTGGAGAGAGCAGTGTTTTGTCGTCCTGACAAACAGCGTGATCTATTCAGTATAATACACACACGTTGGTAGAGAAGAAAGAGCAATTGAAAATAAAAGAGAAATTTTATTAGATAACTATAATTCTGCAGGTGGCAACAGTATTTCCAGGGACCTCATCATTTTCTTTTGTTTTTGAGGACGGACATAGGGCTGGATGAGCCATGTGACACTAGACTGTTGGCAATAGAATGCAGGCACCCGCAGTTGCAAATGGTTTCTAGAGACATCTTTTGAATGACAAAAGATTGCTATATCAGAGTTGCTGGCTCTCTTGAATTGCCATGCTTTGTCTTCTACGGTTGAATACAACCTGATGCAAGACATGCGAACAACCACCTGAATGGATATCAATCCCATTGAGACTGTCCAGGCTGATCTGCAAAAGAATGAATTCCAACTGGTATCTGTTTTGTCTATTTCGTGTGTCAATGGATCTTCATTCATTGCATGCCATTGCCACTGACCAGTGCACCTCCTGGTAGTGGTTGAGCAAGAATATATAATAGAGCTGATGTGCACCAGAGTGCATGTTTCTCCATCAACCTCAACCACCCACACGCCCACACACCGAAGCTTTAGAGACTGTGCTCACTTTCTTCTTCATCTATTCTCTGCTAGTTTGACTGTCTATCATATAACCAACAATCATGTCCACAAATCCCCGCCGCGGCAAAGCAATGCCAACCGATGGGCCAACGCCTAAATTCCTTTATACGATTATCAAGCAGCTAGACCTAAGATCAGTAAGTACCAATTTCTGCAGCCTTAAGAAAAGAACATCATACTAACCGCACACAGATTGACTGGGGCCTAGTTGCCTCCCAGCTAGAGATCTCCAACGGCCACGCAGCCCGTATGCGCTATGCTCGCTTCAAGCAGCAGATGGAAGGCACCGTCCCTGGCTCACGAGCAGTTCGCGCAAAGAAGTCTCCCAGCAAGTCCAAAAAGGGGTATTCCAGCAAGGAAGACATGATGCGAGAATCGACCCCTGCGCAGCAGCAAGAGCAGGCCCAACCTCAGCAGACTGTCAAACAAGAGTCGCTGATGTCCCGGTACGAGCCGAATCCTTTCGTCAAGAACGAGCCGTATGCGCAGCGGACTTTGAATATGGCCGAAATTCCTCATGTAGCTTCGCGTATGATGGCGCATCCATCGGGACAGATGCTGGCGGCGCCGTATCCCCATGGCACCGTTGCTCCCGTGGACCTGGCTATGTATCCCACGACCCCGAACTTTGGGTCTCCAGCTTTTTTGAAGGTTGAGAGGCCCTCAAACCAGCTTTATGGTTGGCCCCCGGTTAAGCTGGAGCAGGAACTGAAGAGTGAAGTACCCGGAGTGCCCGTTAAGCAGGAGCCGACGCAGGAGCCGCAGGACGACGATGAGGTACAATTCCAGGGTATGAGCGTAGTCGGAGAAACTGAGACGATCGACGGCCGCCTGAAGTAGGTTGTTTTGCAATTCTTGTTTTCCTAGGATACGGCTTTAGGGATTTGTTTCGATTGGCGTCCAGGGTATTAGTTAGACTCGATACAACAAGATAGATGATGAATAGGATGGATCTTGCTTTATATTAGACGAAACAATACCCAAACATATCACTACTTATATCCCATTCCCACTTGGAGGTGACAATTTGCATAGATCTCGGCGTTCGCCCTGGTATCTGTGTTGTTGACACTCACCTAATCGCTATATGGTCGTTTGCCTCAGAGATCGCCATGACGATTCCCACTCTCACTTCGCGTCACGACGTCGTTTCAAAGCAACAAATGATCATTCACAAGTTGACGAGGTAATCAAGGTGGTGTGTCAGTGACCTTGTCATTATTTCTCCCACTTTTCTGGCGAGTTCTTGTTGTTGTTTTCTCTTCTCTTCATCCTCTCTCCCACCCTCCCTCTCTCCACCACCTTCCATCAATATCTCACCAACCACTTACCTTGACATCAAAACACCCTTTCCAGAATCGTCAACCATCTCTGGCAAGTATATTAATCTATTTAAATATTAGAAATGATGGAAATCCCCAAACCACTAACACCCACGGACTAGTACTTGAAAGATGGCTCCCAAGTCTAAGTCCGACACCAACGTCGACGGCGAGGTGACCCCTCAGGATGCCAAATTCATCGTCGAATGTCTCAAGAGCATCGGCGACGACAAGATGGTAATTCACAGTCTCTCACTCTTACCCTCATCTAAGAAAGTCGAACCCCCACTAACAAAAACCCCAGGTGAACCTGGTCAAAGTCGCCGACGCCCTTGGGTACACCAACGTGGCGTCGGTTGGAAACCGGTTCCGTGCCGTACGCAAGCGCTACGGCTTCGAGCAACTCGAGGCCAAGAGCACTGGTATGAGCATCACCCCCAAGGGTAAAGCCAAGTTGGATGCTCTGGCCAGTACTCCCACCAAAGTCAAGCCCCAGGCTAAGGGCGTCATGGATGATTCGTCGTCCGATGACGACAGCTTTGTTACTGCCAAAGAGTATCAGTCTAGTAGCGACAACGAGGGCGAGACTAAAGCTTCTGCGTCGTCGTCTCCTGGCCCTAAGAAGGCGCTGGGTGGTCGTGGCAAGAATGTTGAAATGCGCGATACTGCCCAGGAGGCGCTCGCGCTCGCTGAGGATGCGGGTGCTTTCGTGAAGGTTGAGGATTCAGCCGTTGAGGATGAAGGTGGGAGAGTCAAGTCTTGTTTAGCATTCTTCGTGATGTAGATGGTAGAGACAGAGCAGTAGGCTGACTGTTTCTCCTTCAGTGGTGATCAAGTATGAAGGTGCGGCCTAAGGGAGGTTGGGCTACGATGCCAGATAAGTTGGATTGTCTTCTTGTCTCTTGTGAGTCTTCTTTCTTTTGCTCGTCGCGTTTTACCAAATTTGTCTGGATGATACTGATACATGTCTAGTTGCATCTGCCCGACTGAGGTCGTTGTGCTTCTGGAGCTCGGTTGCCTTGAATGAATCTGGATTTGCAGATATCGGCTTGGACTTTTTTTCCCATTCTTTCTTCTCGGTTGCAAACCAGTCCCTCGCTGGACAGGATTGCTGGACTAGGAGGAAGGAGAGGATGTTGTCTGGCGGGAATGATATCATGTTTCTAAATCAGCTCAGTTAATCAAAAAGATTGTTTTCAACATATTTGTGTCGTAATAGACTAGCTTTGCTGAGTTTCTTATAGTATTTCCTCTACTGAAACAGAGAAAAATCGAGAGAAACAGGTGAGGTGAAAGTAAACCGCCAATCCTTTACATCCCCTGACAACCAAGAATCACTGACCCATTCACTACTCCATCTCCCCAACCACTCCTTGTTTGCTTCTTCTCACTCTACAGCCCATATACTCTGACTTGATATCCTCTCTCACAAGGGCTCCGCGTAAACCAACTTACCATCCTACACATACTCAACGACGGGACCTCTAGCAAGATCTCCTACCTCTCTTCATCAATCATACTCCCACTACGCTCATCACTCGTCATCCACAACTATCACATCCTGAAGACTACGAATAGAAAGGAAACACAAGCCAAAACAATGTCTCGCATCAGCGAACAAGACGCAACCAAGTTCCTCCTGAGCTGCGTCCGCCACTCCAACAACGGCAAGGTCAGTGGAACGAAGTCTCAACCATTAAACCTAATCATCTCCATTAATCTACAAACATCGAAGAACAAAGTAGCTAACTAGATGTGAACCCACAGATCAACTTCGAAGAAGTTGCCACCGAATGCGGAATCACCTCCAAGGGAGCAGCGTAAGTCATCACTCGTTATGCTCAACAAAAACTATCATACTAACATGAACTAAACAGAGCCAAACGCTACGAGCGCCTCGTCAAGGCCCACAGCTCCACCACCAACGACGAAAACGCCAACGCCAGCGCTGGAGCAGCGGAGACCCCCAAGAAGGGGCGTTCTCCTGCGAAGCGTAAGTCTGGGGTTTCGTCCGCCAAGGGAGCGACTAAGAAAGCGAAGGGCAATTCGGGTGGTACTGCCGAGGCCGGAAATGGAGAAGCGGTATCTAACAATTTGTCGAAGAGTGAAATGAAGAAACTCGATGACGAGCTGGATGCTGCGAATGTTAGTGGGGATGGCTACGCTGCTGGCAAGAAAGCGGTGGGTGGTGAGTTCACTGAAAGTGAGATGAAGAAATTGGATGAGGAGCTTGATGCTGCGGAGGTTCGTGATGAGATTCCCTTTCTTTTCTTTTACAAAAGAAGTAAAAAGAAATAAAGGAAAAAGAACAATGCTAATGTAGAGTTGGGAAGTCGTCTAGGTCTAAGGAAGAACAAATGGATGTCGGTGCCTTTACAAGACAGAAATTTACCTGGGTGATTATTTATGGGGGGATTTCAAAGTGGATGATGATTGACAACGTCGCGACTGCGCTGGGGAGAATTTGGGATTGCTTTATCTTTTGATACTCATGGGACGGCCATTAGGGGCGTTTACGGTGGACATACAGGTCTGGATTGTGGCAAGGAAGGGCGTCTAGGCTTAAGAATACTGGAAAGTGATAGCATCCAATACATGGCATTATTGATATTCCAATTCCATATGTCGTCTATCGTATATAGCCTGATAGATAAACTAGCATGGGTATCGCTCAAGGGGTATCCGTGATCCAAATCAGACTTGGCGTGGACAAGAAAACAACATAAAACACTCGCGCTCCACATGGTTGAAGTGACATGGGTGATTGCAAGTGGTATCAAAAGATATCAAGGAGAAAAATGATAAGATAAAAAGGAAACACGGGCTGCTTCCACAGCTAGGTTGCATGTTTGGAAACGAAGCCGAGGTTGAACGAACAAGAAGAACTCCCCTAGACGTCCGCCATGACCGACTCGAGGATCTTGCGTTTATAATTAGATAGAGACCGTTCCTTTTTCTGCATTTGAGCTCGGAGCTTCAAGTACCGTTGCTTCCATGTTGCCTCCGAGGTAGTTGGGTCGTCCCCGTCGATCTCGAATTCGCCGTCCGCTAACCCATCAAGATCGGCCATGGTACTTTCTAGCTCGTCAGACGTCTTGGAAGTCGGCGCAGGCTTGTCCCCGTCACTCTTCCCAAGGCTAAGTCCGCCGTAGGAAACCTTGGTCGAGAAGCGGTACCCATGTTTGTATTCGTGAGAAATGGTATATACGGGAGGTGTTGGCGGGGTGGCGCTATGATAAGCGGGTGAAGCGTCGACCCGGACAAGCATTGTACTCTCTGTGATGCCAGGGTACCCAAAGTGTGGCCCTAGTCCGAGGTGGAGAGCGGACATGAGGACAGGCAAGCCCGACTGGAGCTGTGAATACGACGATGTCATATTAGCCACCACCGATGCAGCCAAGCCTTGTGACTCCTCCACGCTGAGCGGGGTGGTTCGACCGATGAGTCGCCCGCGGAGCAGTTCGCCTGATAGCACGCGCACGACATCGTCGCACGTGATGTCTGCAGTGGACTGGCTGCTATTGCGGGGGACATTCGACGGGAGATGCGGGTTGGTGGCGGGTGCATCGTTCAAAACCGACGGACCGTTCCGTGGTTGCCCCTCGACCTTGAAGCCGGTGGGTGCGTTGTTGACTCCATTGACCATGTGAGTCGGTGGGGTTGCTAGGCGTACCGGAGCCCCTGAATGTTGCGGCACTTGAAGCTGAAGTTTGTTTGGTCGCCCGCCTCCGGGGAGTGGTGTGGGTGATTGCTGGTATTGGGAATTCGAGAAGCGATTGGGGTGGTCCTGTTCAAGGACGATCGCTGGAGCCGGGTGCACTTTCGATCCGTGTAGATGAGACGGGTCAGAGCGAATCGGGTTGACGGGAAAGGAAGAGAAAGGCCCCGAGGATGTCCCCCGGTTAGGGGGCCGACCTCGAGTCTTCCCCGTGGATGACCCGACGGTCGTTGGCCAGGCAGAAGACACGGCGGGGCCATGGCGCCGCTTGGACCGAGTCTTCTCGCCAGTTGACGGTGTGACTGCGGACCGCGGTTCCGCCGAATGCACAAAAATGTCGGGGTGATGGCCACGAGGCAGGATCGCTGACTGCGGATACCCCGCGGGAGACGGATCTCGCTCCAAAGGTCTCCATCGCAGCTCCTGGCCCGGCTGGGTGGCCGGCGTATCTGACGGTCCGTCGGCGGGAAATGAGGATGCAGCGGTCATCCACGGGTCGTGAGATTCCATTTCATCCGGAAAGGCGCTAAACGGAATCGCACTCTGGGGGAATGAAGCGGAGTGGGCCGGGAACGAGGTCTGCAAGACCCCGGCTGAGGTATCCAGCTGTGGTCGTTTGACTATCCGCTCCCCACTGATCTCCCGCTCTTCCGCTCGTTTTCGGCCGCGTTTTGGTTTCCATTGGGGCACTAACGCCCGGAGCGCAAGATCCTCCTCCAATGGAACCCCGTCGCGACTGTCGCTCACCACCGCATCGTTTGCTGGAAGTTGTGTGTAGTACGGGTGTGGGTGACCTAGGCAATATTCGAAGAACGCATCGACATGCATCGCGCGCATCCACCTCTACTCTTAGTTAGGATAGTTCCTTTTTTTATTTTCCCTTTTTTTCTTCGTAGTTGAGATGGGGTGGCCATACGAACCTTGAGCCGAACCGCGTACTGCTGAACTTTTTGCGTGCTTTGCTTCTTCTCCATGTCCGGGGGCTCGACCCCCAGCTCGATCGCTAGCGCAATCCACGTCTTCAGTTCCTTACTATCGAGTCTTTTGATAAGCTCCCAGAGAGCAAAGATGCTGAAGCTCTTGCCGTCGCTGCGGGGCGGGCAGCGGAATGTCTTCCGGAGTTCTGTCGTATCCACCGATGTGGGGACATTCGGATTGCAGTAGAAGACAAACGCGACGTATGCATCATCGATAGTTTCATCGGTGATATCGCGCGCCGGTAACGACCGAGGTTCTGCGTGATCCATCGAGTCCCTCATGGGCCTCGGACGAGCCGAATCGAAGACCGGAGGTGACATGGACGGTCCTGGACGAGTCGCTGGGGGGGCGGGAATGATTGATCGCGGAACCGTGGGCGAGGCTTGCAGACTGCGAGGGGTGGGTTTTCGATGGAGTGGAGGGGACTTGGAGGCGGCGACGCGACTGTGAGCGCTACCCAGCGACGAAGCGCTCTGTAGGCTGGGCTGGAGCGCCGGAGGATATCTTGCATATTGCTGAACGACCACCGGCGTGCCTCCTAGTTCGTTGCGATCCGGTTGGGTCATCACCGCGGGAAAGGAACCTTCCATGGCGTGCCGTCGAAATACGCAGACGCAACGGAGACCTCGAAGCGACGCAATGCTCGATAAAACAACGGGCGATGTAGGGTATCACAAAATCTCGGCGGAAGAAAAATATCAAGAATCTCGTGCGCATGGGAAAAAAAGACCTATTAATAGAACGGTCGCGACAAGAAGGCAGGCGACTGGATCAGGGACCAGCCCAATCGCATTGACGGAGGGAACAGAGCGGCTTGGATCGAAGTATACTATACCACGAACAGGCATACTAGAAATCGACAGGAACAATCCACAACAACGGCGACAGGATTGGTGAGAAGGACGCCATCATCATCGACCAAAAGTCGGAACAAACGAGGGGAATGAGGGGGAGAGAAGAAAGCGAGAAAAGAGAGAAAAAGCGAAGAGGCTGGAAGAAAAGCAGACGGCGCGTTTATGCTCATTGCTCTAGTGAGCCTTAGTAGAGCTGACTGTTTCTATTATTATGACCAACCGGGGTCTAGCGTGTGAACTGGGGGGAGTGTCGGGCGGGGGATCGAATGCCAGATTGCCTGAATGGGGCAGCCGGGCGCTAACGGAGTGACAGGCACAGTCGAGCATTGCAGGAGGAGATGAGGAGAGTGGGAGTTTATTGGTGGGAGCCGGGGGTCTGTCCGGAGTCAATAGTAGGAATGACAATAGTAGGAATGACAATAGCATACTGACCTAGTAGAATGTACAGTACGGATGAATATATTGATACTGCATTCAAGCTGGATAGATCTCAGGCACCGATGCCAAGGCTCAGGCATGCCATTCTTATCGATTGAGTGCCTGAGGTCCCCCTCTCCCTTCCGTCTTCCCTGACCTCATCGTCATCATCCGGACTTCATCGTGACTGACTAACTGAGTTGACTGACTGCTAGGGGATTATTAACTTCAACACACACCTCTTGACTTTTCTTGTACGGTTCCCTGTTGACGGGTTCTGACTTCCCTATATATGCTGCCAACCCTCGACTCTCTACGTGGAATGATGGTCCCCTTCCCTCTCTCTCACTTTCCATTCAACGTCTGCGTTTAGCGCCATCGGTTATCGCAAATGACGTGCTGCATGTTGGGTGCCTATTATTATCTCCCGATCATAGGGCTACCCCTGCCAAGTCCCGTCAGTGGCCATGGCGTCCTCTGCGCGTCGTCCCGTCCGCTCGAGTCGCACCCAAGTCCAAACCTACAACGAAGAGAGCAGTTCGGATGATCGTCGGAATGAAGATACTGAGTCGGAGATCGAGGAAGCTAGGCGGGCATCACTATCGCTACGCCCGCGCGACACCCGTCGAACGCGCGTGTCTTATCGCGAAGAGACCACGGACGAGGAGGACGACCTGCAAGAAGAACCGTCAAGTGATCACGAGGGAATACGACCAGCCGACGCTCCTACTCATTTGACCTACCCGGCTTCACAACAACGGGGCAGCAGCCGTACTTCCCGCCGGCCTCGCACCCGCACGGTGAAGACGCGCTCCCAAACCAAGAAATCAACGACACCTTCGCGACGGAGCCGATCGGGGGTGGGAAAACCGCGCAATAAACGGAGGAAGGTGGACGATGAACCGATGTTTGTCGGCTCCGGGGTCATCCCCCCGTGGCAGACCCTTCCGTACCAAGTGCTATTCGACATATTTATCTTCGCCTCCCGTCCTCTGGTAGATGAGAAAACTATCGCTCGACTGCCCTCGGTACAATGGCTGGTCAATGTCGCGACGTTGTGTCGTGCATTCCATGAGCCGGCGCTTGCAGCGCTGTATCAAAGCCCGCCCTTGATCCCGGCGGCGAAGGCACACGGCTTGCTCAGTGTTCTATCCCAACCGCAGGATCACCTGTCGACAAATTATGTCAACAAGGTCCGCGAGTTGCACGTGGACGTGGAGACACTCTTGCTCTACAAAAGCGGGCCGACTCTTGGATACTTCGAGTTGTCCAGACTGATTGAATGTACCCCTCAGGTCAAAACACTGCGGTTATATCACAACGATGATTACGTTGTCGGTCTTCCTCCATGGCAAATCCAACGGTCCAAGTGGACCTATCCAGACAGTCTCTTTTCCGCGATCGCCGCGCGTTCAATTCGATTGCGCAGCTGGGATTGGAACAGCCGGTTCATGGAAACCACGCGGTTACTCCCTATCGTCCTAGGAAAACACCTCGAACCGTCCTTCCGGGGATTGCGGGAGCTCAGATTGTTGCATGTGGCGTCGGAGTATTCCGATGGTGATGACGTGGAATCCTTGTCCAATGAAAGGGAGATTGTTCTTGCAAGCGCGCTTAAAGAATTGTCGGAGCTACAAACCCTGCAGTTCATTGAATGTTCGATCGTCAACGAACATCTCCTGCTGAACCTACCGCTATCGCTTAGATCTCTGACCATCAACAATTGTGACGATGTAACCACGGCAAATTTCAGCGCCTTTCTCTCCTCCCATGGTCAATCCCTCCGCGAGTTGGTTCTGTGCCACAACCGTCACTTGAGCCTATCGTTTATTGTAGGCTTGGCTCAGGCATGCGGACAGCTCGAGATATTCAAGATGGACATCTCGATGTATGATTGGTCGAGTTATCATGATGTTGAACCGCACTTCGCACAACTTCTCGGCCCCACCGAGGTTCCGACTTGGCCATCGACCTTGAAAGAAGTCGAGCTGATCCAGCTACGCAAGTGGGATGACGCCACAGCGGAAGTGTTCTTTACGTCGCTCATTAACAGCGCATCCGATCTACGGAGTCTCCGGCGGCTAGTGATCAGCGCCATTCTGAAGATCGGCTGGCGCGATCGGGCATCGTTCCGCGAGAAGTGGATTGGAAGATTGGAGAAGGTTTTCCTGCGGCACAGCCCGCCTCCCGATCCGACCCTTCGCACCATCCCGCGCCCCCCGTCACACCCGAACCGGACGACTCCACCCGCCAACGGCCCCCCCATTGACGATGGGTTGACACAGTCGGATGCGCAACATAGCGGCCCATCGACGCCCTCCAAACGAAAGAGCGTTCGACTTGCCCAACGGAAATTCTCCGAGGCCGAGGAAAGTGAATTCAGTCCAGTGCGTCAGACTGGCAACCACGGGGATGATGAGCCGGCGTCCCTCACCGTGCAGGGCATGTGTGAGGTAGTCATGGTGCGTATCGACAACCAGCGACCCACTGAAACGCAGTTCAACGAGCAGGATTTCCTAGACGAGGAATTGAGCGGCGACGAGGACTGGAATGGCGATGACCTAGACATGTCGGCTGGCGGACATGCCTGGTAGGTTCGTCACCACTAGTTGACTCGCGATGCGAACATGGTCAAAGACCTCTTGTGCCTAGTTCAGCAATGTGTCCTTCACCCTAGAATCTCCCCTCTGCATTCCCTCCTCGTGGGCAATTCTATACATCTTTTTGATCTGGGCCCCTGTGCCCACCAGACACGTCTAAATTGAGTTCAAACAATTCGGGAGTTGGGGTTTTACAACATAAAGGACGGTCTCAACGGAGTGTGGGAACGGTCTGGGCTTTATCTGATTTGACTTTTATTCTAATTTATTTCCCCCCTTGCCTGTCGTTTACTCTTTAGTTTCATGGATGTACGAACGAAATAATGATCTGGCTGCCCCTCGCCTAACACAGCGACATCTCCACCTATCCACGACGATGCATGTAACTGTACAAAACGTATCGATTTTGGATGACACTCCAAAATCTCCACAAGAAAGCCAATCAAGGCTCATAGACAAGATTCCCATCCCGGTTACCGATACGCTGCCCGAGGTAAATCTTCGCAGGGATGAAGTCGCCCTCGGTGTTCCTCAGATGAGCGTACAGAACAGGCACGGGGTAACCGTGGGCATCACCCTCCCAGTCAAAATAGATGTCTTCGGCGGACTCGGAGAAGTCCATTCCTCCCCAGACGAAACGGCCTATTGTTGGGTCACAAACGGTCAAAAGAAAAAGACTGCAATATATCGTAGGTAGGGAGGATATATGTGAGTTGATATTATACTTACCTTCGTTATTCCCAATGTACTGATCAAGGTCCAGGGCCGATTCTGAATACCCACCACCATCACGTCTCAAGATGGCGATGAGGAGATGACTATCGATGAGATGGACGTCTGTGGCGGTCTGATGGAAGTCGCCGATTTTGAGTAATCTCGTGTATAGAATGACTTTTTCTTTGCTTTGTCTTGAACTGCTGTTACGAGTGAGAGGAGAAGAATGAGGGAGTGGAAATAGGGGTGGGAAGGAAAGTAGAAGGAGGGGAGAGATGGGAGGGAGAAGGAGGGAGCCTGAGGCGTTATAGGTCCCCTCTTGTTACCGTAAAATAAAAGGATCAAGTCCGTCAAGTAGATGAATCGAGTTATTATATGTTTCCTCCCTTTGTAGAGTAAGATGGCTTGATTACTATGAGTATCTGGTTCCCCCTGCTACCAGGTGATTGCGTGTACATGCGTTCAAGAACTCAACAAGGAATCAATCAAGGATCAAAGACAAATTCCCCATCCCGGTTGTCAATCCGCTCTCCAAGGTTCAGGTCCGCGTCGACGAGCTCGCCGTCGGAAGTCGGCAGTTTAGCGCGTATAACAGGCACGTCGGCACCGCCCTCGATGTCGAAATGGACGTTCTCGGCGGAATCGGAGAAGTTCTCGCCGTCCCATACAAAGCGGCCTATTGTAGGATCGCAAATAGTCAGAGGGGAGGAAGATTGATCGTGGTGCATGGTAGGGAGAATGGAGCTTACCCTCGTCGTTTCCAATGTACTGATCAAGGTCGATGGTCGATTCCTGAGTCTCACCATCTCCGCATTCGAGGCTGGCGACGAGGAGATGGCCGTCTTCGATGCGGATATCCGTGGCGGTGAGATGGAAGGCGCCCATTTTGCTGAATTGAATGAGTAGAAATAGATTTGACTTTGGATTGTTGTTGCGAAATAGAGAAGAAAGGAAGTAAAAAGAGGGGGTTTTTATATGTTCCCCCCCCCTCTATCTATGCATGCCCCTCCATCAATATCACAAGCTGTCAATAGTGGAGTCCCCTCAAGTCCAGTCAACCAACCAACCAACCCCACTTCATCCTGCTATTGCGAGGATACCCAAAACCAAGCTAGCTCCAAACATCAGCCACGCGCGTTAACACACTTGTTCGCCAGCTATTAGCCAGTTCCAATAGCCTCGTGGAACAGTCCGGGAGGGCAAAGCGGGGGGGAGGGGAGGAGTTGATTGAAAACCGCCCCATCGCTGGAACGGCGGTGTCGGATTGCCGCGTCCAGGCAGCACAATTAATCCTTTGCCTTATCGGATGGGGGAATCGAGTGACTCCGGGATTCTTTCGGCGTCAAGGGTGATTACCACCCCACTTGGTGGGGGTTTTGAGAGGCAGTGAGGTTATTAGCGGGCAGTTCAGGGGAGTTTCCAAAGGCGAATGTATGAAGGGTGGCTTGTAAGGGGCTTGCAAAGGGGGTTTAGGCAGACAGTCTGTGGGGAATGGGCATAATATGTGGCGGAAGGGCTTTGTGTGATTTGGAGGAATTGTTGCACCATGATCTCACCACCGTCAATTGTGAGATGGCTCCCCGCAGATGCACATCAAGGATGGTATAGATTGGTTACCTTTTGAGCGCCAAGGGGTTGAGGGGAGCAAGTGGCGTAGGGCTGACTTAGGCTGCCTGGTTTCTTTGTTTTGCTGAGAGACCAAGTATATATTCGCCTGACATACCTGACATACCTGATATACCCCATATACCACTACGTCCAGAGATCTACAGCCGCTACCGAAACGGTGCCAGCCTGTCAAATTTAGTATATGATCAGTGTTAGTATATACTTCCCCACCAGAGGAATCTCGCAGAAATAGAAATAGAAAATAAAATGGAAAATTTACGATACTGGGCACGAGCAATAAAGCCAAGAACTTATACTTCCAACCCCGCCAACTGTCCTGTTTTCTGTGGCCGTATACAAAAATTACACAAAGGCGAAGGAATTCTATTAGTCAGAAGCCATTAAGACTGTATGGCTCCTATTGCGTACAAGCAACAATATCAATTTTGTCTGACAATTATATCTTCAAGGCAAACCTTTATGCAGCTGCATTGTGCTGATGCATGGTGCAGGAAGCTGCTAGGCATCCAGATAAACGTAATGAGATCCTACTAAATCTATAACAATCAGGCATGAACCTTGTGGTGATCGGGATCATCAATCCGCCCTCTTAGGTAGTCCTAAGTTAGAAAAGAATTATGCTGGAATCAAACCAGCCGTGCCAATATATATATGCTTATCTTCCTTCTGTTCTTTTTCTTTCCTTCTTTGCGTTCATCCATCTACTTTAAAGGGGTTAGCTGTTGATGTAAGATCCGTCTGGAAGCAGGTTTGTAAACCAAGAGGATTCCCGCTGAATCCAACATTTTGTCGCAATAAACTGTTAGGTCCTAATACTCATAATCAAAAGCTGCGATTTCAGTGTATGTCGCATATTTGGGCTGGCCAAAAATCGTATTGAAGAGTCTCTTCTTACACTGTATACAAGTGTTGGTTTGCGAGAGACATAATCATTGTAGCGTGCACAGCTGATGATCATGTTTCCAGGGGAATGGCTTGACACCCCGCCAAATCAAGTCCACTTTAGTATTATTCGGTAGAGAATGCAGGGATTATGACGCGGTTTCTTGCTGGGGCTATTTCCCCATGCTTATTATATATACGACTAGGGGAAATCGGAAAATCGACCAATAGGTCTTCACACCCATGGTTTCGGTACATGGGTTGTTCGAAAGTAGTTGTTCTTCAAGTGATTTGTCGGCATTTCTTTTCTCCCTGATTTTTGAAGAATTCGTTTTTTCTTCCCGGTATACTAGACCGATCGATCGGACTAGACATACACATGGGGTAAGACATCGAGCGAATGATAGATCTGAAAGTTGGCTGCATCGAGCCATCGACCCAACCATCACCAGGATCAGCTGCTTAAGTGGGGCGAGACATCGAGAATGATATGCATTTCCCTGGCACTGAATGCGCCCAGAGGGTTCTAGAGACCCCAGACATTATCTGACCACCGTGCGCGCAACACAACAGCCGAACTGGTTGGTTGAGATGAATGGAGGGGAATGAGGGATGGGAAAATGGATGAAGATGGAAAGATCTGGTCGATCAAATCCATCCCGAACTCCACCTCCCTAGACGCCTGAGGCCAAACAGTAGTATTCCACTACTCCGTACAAGGAGGACGTTCTCCGGAGTAGATCTCCTCTTAACTTCTGCTCCTACATCATTCCATTGCGCCGTTCCATTCTCCACCCCACAGCCATCTTTGGTCTAGTCGGCCCCTCCCTTTTTTGCACCACCGTTGAGTCCCCTTCATCGGGCGGGAATTAATTCACCAAGGAATCGTCGAGGTAGCGAACCACGAAGACCGTCACTTGGGGATCTCATCGAACGGGAACATCTTCATCTCCTGAATATTGTTCCCCACGACTCCTTTGTGACGTATCGCACCATATTCTGACCTGTGGTAGCTGTTGTCCACATTTCGGCTGATTCGGATAGCCATGGCGGAGTCGGCGTCGACCCCTGGGTTCAACATTCACTCCGCACCGCTGGAGGTTGATAACTATGTATGTAAATCCTCCCTCTGTGTTTAGGATTGTATAGTTTAGTTTCGACAGTCGTTTGTGACAGTCGACGGATTCCTTCTACAATGTGCTCATCTCGTTGTAGGCTGAGGTAGACGACGACCCCTCGTCGGACTATGCAGAAGACTTGTAAGACGCCATCTGTATGACAGACGGTGCACGAACAGCTGGCTAATGATTTGGAAAAAGTCCCAGCGACACCACCTCGTTGAATTCTTTGATCACTTCTTACCGTTTCGAAAATGGTCGACGATACCACTCCTACAAGGATGGTGCCTACTGGTAGGACCCTCCCATTGTCGTGCGCCGAATCATCATTGATTTTTCTCCAGGGGTCCCAATGATGAGCAACAGAACCAGCAGCTAGACATCGCGTATGTTACCTGACAGATGTTTTTGGTGGGCCAGACTGATAAATTTCTTCGAACTAGACACCACATGTTCACTGTGCTCCTCGACAATAAACTGGTTTTGGCGCCGATCGATGAGAACATCCAGGTATGCGTGGCGTGGGGGAACGTCAGCATATACGTGTCGGATGCATTTTGCTAAACCGTCTACAGAATGTGGTTGACCTGGGCACCGGCACCGGCGTTTGGGCCATGTGAGTCTACTCAAAGCTAACGTAGAAGGAATTCTAGGAACTGACACTGTGCCAGTGACTTTGCGGACGAATACCCCGGAGCTCAGGTTTTGGGCACGGATCTTTCCCCTATCCAACCCAGCTTTGTGCCCCCTAATCTACAATTTGAAATTGACGACGCCTCGGAACCATGGGTGTATCCGGACAATCACTTCGACCTGGTTCACGTGCGTGCCTTGTATGGGGGCATTGCGGATTGGCCCGCCTTCTATCGCGAGGCATTCAGGTAGGGTTTCTCCGCTGATTGATTGTCTACCGGTCTCTCACAACGTCGATTAGGCACATTCGTCCTGGAGGCTGGATCGATCAGCTGGAAATGTCGATCCAGTTTTCTTCCGATGATGGGACGGTGACGGATGACCACGTTCTGGCGACCTGGTCGAAGACCTTTATTGAAGCCGGCGAGAAATTCGGGAAGACCTTTCGCATCGCTGATCTCGCCAAAGGATACATGCAAGAAGCTGGATTCGAAAATGTTACCGAGCGGCGGTTCAAGTTGCCGGTCGGCCCTTGGAGCCGTGACCCAAAGCTGAAGAAGCTTGGCCGCTGGAACCTGGTGCACTGCGAGCAGGGCATTGAAGGTTGGGCCATGGCGCTGCTGACTCGAGTCATGGGGGTGAGTTTGATTCCTCCTCGCTGCCTGTGGTGCTTGTTGTGGAGTACCCAATTGCTAGACGGACCGTTGTACTAATCGCTGGCCGATTTAAGTGGACCTACATGGAAGTACAGGTCTTTTTAGTGGAGATGCGGAAAGGCCTGCGGGACCCCAACATCCACGCATATTTTTCTGTGTAAGTCTTCTTTTATTCTCTACATCTTCATATCGCTTGATGTAAAATAAGAGACATAAGAGGGATCGCTGTTGCTGACACGGTTATAGGGTGGGAGTGTATGGCCAGAAGCCAGTCTAGTAGACCTGGAGACAGCTCGAATGTTTAGTCAGGAGATGTGTGGACGTATCGTTGGTCGCTTGTGGCGATATTTTCATGGTTTTCATTATTCCCTCCACATGGGTAGGACTATGCAGCCTGGTTGAAGCTAAACGTGCGTTAGGGCCGGAGAGCTCGGAGCGAAGTGGTTCAGTTAGCGGCAGTTACTGTAGCTCATTCTTTTTTCACTCCATACAAGCCGGACGAGGCAGGACAGACTGCACCCGACGGGTACAAAGTCATGGATGTCTGTACATAAATCAACTCCTCTCTTTTTACTATGGTGAAGCTGGCCGAATCGATCATTAATTGATTATACGGGTTTAGATCTACGTAGTAGTTTGCAGCAGCAGTGATCGTCCACTGCGACTTGGCAAGCAACCCCACACCGAGTCTCCATGGACACCCAACAGACTTGTGATTGGCTTTGTACTTCGACAAATCATCGCCTACACAGGGAAACTCGCGTACCACAGCCTTGTGAAGTGAACAGGGATGGCAGGCATTGGGTTGTTCAGCATACACCAAAAGCAAACCTAGGCATTGAGACTTACAAAGGCCTTGTGCTCGTGTTGATTTGTTATACCCACGCACCAGCCCCAGCCCTCTTTTTGAAGATACCACTGACTCGGTGCCACACGTTGCGCCATAGTCTCGGGCTCGACGCTTGGCTCGTCACATGCAAACCGCATATGCCATGAAGAAAGACAGCAGTTGAGACGAGATAGTCATCGGTGCCATTGAATTGATAATTTTTTGGGTCTCCAGCCTCGACATCAACCCATACCTTTCACCGGCGAAAGATGAGTATGACAACGCAGCAATCCAAGCCAAAACAGATGATGAGCAGATTGAAAGCTGCATCAGGCTGTAGACCCTAGTCAATTGGCATCAATCATGTCGTTGTACATTGCATGGAAATGAGGTCTTAGCCCAAGTACCCGGAGGCCAGGCCAATCTCCTCACAGTCGGAGATTGCAGGCAGTGTAAACCGTTGGAATGTAATATCGGGTTCCGGAAATCTATCGCCGTGCCGCCAACCCTTCAGCGCAGGGCTCTGATAGCGGGGTATTGTCCACAGGTATGAGACAGCAGCAAACAGGATTGATGGCTTGGTCTTAATGGCTTATATATGGACGCTTAGACTGGGCGATTCTTTCGACTATCGCATTCAAAGTTTATTGCTACCAGCTTTCTACCATGTTGACAGAGTCAGAGCACTTACCTTGGTTGGTATTATACTTCGTGGCTGGGGCGATCGTGCTGCAGAAGGTTTTCGCAGTAGTATATCGAATCTTTCTCCATCCGCTGGCCAAGGTTCCTGGCCCATTACTCGCGCGCGCAACTTATCTCTATTCTTTCTGGTACAATTTAAATGGGGCGCGGTTCTATCTGCAGATTGAAAAGTTGCACCGGCAATACGGTATGCCTTCCCTCCAACCCATGTCATGACAGTCAGAGTCCCAGAGACTCACGTGGATCTACACTGTAGGTCCTATCGTTCGCATCACCCCCAACGAGGTTCACCTGAGTGATCCTACCTCCTGCGACAAGATCTACTTTGTCGGCTCGCCGTTCGGCAAGAGCGCCTTGTTCTATGGAGCTTTCGGCACAGAGCACGCGACCTTCACGACCCCAAGCCCGGAGGTGCACCGTGTAAAGCGGGCCGCGCTCAACCCGTTCTTTTCGCGCAAGAATGTATTCCTGCTGGAGGATATCGTGCATCAGAAGGCGCATAAGCTGGTGGCCCGCATGCGAAAGGCTTTCGCTACCGGTGGTGCCATTGACCTCCACTACGGCTTCCGCGCCATCTCGGTCGACGTTATCACGGACTACGCGTTTGATCGATGCTCGAACCATTTAGATGAGGAGAAGTTTGGCGTGGAGTTCTTCAAAATGGTCAAGGAGTTTGGACCCGCCGTTTGGTTTTTCCAGCAGTTTCCGGCTGTGCAGCCGTTTGCGCTGGCGACGCCGTTATGGCTGGCAAATCTGATGAGTGGTCCGCTAACTAGGATGATGATGCACCAAGAGGTGAGTTCTACTGGAGTGTTTTGCTTATCAGCGGTGGTAACTGTCGGCTAAGGGTACAACTCGCAGGGCTCCCGCCATCATATTCTACAGGTGAAGGACGCGGTCGATAGGGGAGAGAAACCTCAGCGTACCACCATTTTCCACCGGCTTCTGTCTCCCAATGCGGCGGAAGGGCATGTGGTGCCCACCGTTGATCAACTTAAAGACGAAGCGTTTGTTATCGTGGCGGCGGCCGCGGATACCACTGGAAACGCCCTGACCATCTCGACGTACAATGTCGTGCGAAATCCCGATATCTATGCGAAATTGACAGCTGAGTTGAAGGCGGCATTTCCGGATCCCGAAGCGCGGTTGGACTTTGTTACTCTGGAAAAGCTGCCGTATCTGGTAGGCAATCTTCCCCTAGGGCCAGAATGAGGCTAACCAAATGCACAGACGGGCATTATTAAGGAGGGTCTACGGTAAGGCCTTTAGTCAAAGATGCATATTAAATTTTACTGATTGCCCAGCCTATCCTTCGGTGTTGTCGGCCGTCTCCCACGAGTGGTCCCAGACACCGGCGCAGAATTCCACGGCTACCATGTTCCCCAAGGGGTGAGATGCCAATATCCATGTTTTATCTGATTACTTCGACGAAGGCTGAGAAATGCGCACGATTACAGACAACGGTCAGCATGAGCTCGTGGATCATGCACCACAACGAGGATCTGTTCCCGGATGCGGAGAAATTCGACCCAACTCGTTGGACAGATCCTGAGCAGTGTAAGACGATGGAGCGATACTTGTTTTCATTTGGCAAGGGATCGCGCCAATGTGTCGGGATGCCGTACGCCTTTCCCCCACGATGCCGGAAGATACTATATCCACTGACACTGAATAGACTGGCCTACTGCGAGCTGTATGTGACGCTTGGTCAGATATTCCGACAATTCGACAGTTTGAAGACACCGGGCAAGAGCCGTGAGGAGATGCTATATGATGATTACTTCTCATCGTACCACCCTGAGAAGTACAACCAGTTCTTGTTTACGTCTAACGATTAGTGCACTTCCGCTCAGTGACTCGGTGGTGGATGAGCTGGGGATGGTCCTGAAGGGGTTCGTTTGTGGTATTCTACAATGTTCTATAAGAAATAATCCATTTATCATACATGTATGAAACCAATATAAAGTTGTTAAGGTCCTTTCAGCATTGCTCACCAGACCACACAATGTGACTCACTCCCACTCTATACCCCCAAAATTGTCCATCCCCGTGCTAGACAAAGCCTCTCGGCGCCGCCCCATGAAACAGAGAACAGCTCGGCCTCGGCGACGATAATGTGGGCTCGTCGCTAGGCAGATCTGAGTAACAGATGATAGTGTGATTCTTTGTTGTTCTTTTATCTTCTGATATTCTGTTGAATGTTTTCTTGTTTTTCTCTTTCTCCCACATCTCTCCCTCTCACCTCTCCACCACGTTTCCCTTCACAATCTCTATCTCTCTCTCACCACATTTCTCTTCACCACCATCCACTGCTATCCTCTCCTCAAAGAACCTTTTGAAACACCAACAACCTCAAGTAAACCTCGTACAGTCTACTGACTATAAACCATTACTCAAAATGCCCATGGTTTGGAACGACACAGCTGATGTCAAGGTAAGTTCCATCTTGTAGCCTAGTCTAACCCACCTCTTACCCAGCCCTCTCTCCCAACACAACATTTCCTCAAATCCTCCCCTTCATAACTTCATACAATGATACTAACAATATGAAAGCTCTTCATGGCTGTCCTGTCCACCACCAACCCCAAGCTGAACTACCAGCAGCTCGCCGACATCATGGGCCCGGGTATTTTCTCTTCTCTTTACCCTATCTTACATCCCTCCCAACAAACACTAATGTTGGGGCTACCAGGCTGCACTCCAAGTGCCATCCAGCACCGCATCCAGCGCCTCAAAGCCATGGTCGCCAACAACGACAACGCCACAACCAACAACGGCACCAACACCAATGCCGAGGAAGCCACCGAGCTCGCCACCACCACTTCAGTCCCCTCCAGCCCGGAGCAGGCCAAGAAGAAGCGCGGCCGTCCTGCCAAAAAGACCAAGGATACTGACGAGCCTGCTCCTAAGAAAGTCAAGAAGGCCGTCGCGAAGAGAACCAAGAAGGCTAAGGCTACGGCTGACTCTGATGAGACTGAGGAAGCCTAAGTAGTGGGTGCATCCATTTATGGATTATGACTTGGTTGAGAGAAGTTCTTCCTGCTTGAAAGTGGAGGGTGGGTTGGTTGCGTTTCAACGTGTTTTGCCCTTTCTTGATTTTTTTCTTGAATTGGCTTTGTTTTTTGCCTTTTACTTTGCTCTTTTTGTGAGGGACTTGAGGACGGGAGTTGGATTGGATGGAAGTGGATGGGAGTGAATGGATGGAGGGGCTGCGTTGGGTGCGACCTGTACTTGGGCTCCAGTCTTCATTTTTGCTTTCCCTTTATCTTGTTTCTACTTCCTGTCTAGTTTGGTTCTCTATCTTCTCTACTGGTCTGGCTGACGGATGGTGATTGCCGTTGTTTCTGGCCCGATCATGATGATCGTCGTTTGACTTCGTTTACGAGCAGGTTGAATACTATTTCTTGATTCAAACCACTTGCTATTATTGTAAACGTAGGGGCTGGGGGAATAGTGGTTTGTAAATGACATCAACGTTCTTGCAGTTCTTTTGACGGTCTCTTTACCATAATCCACCATTGCAAGCCTTTCTCCCTCCCATATTAACCACTGAACGAGCGCAGTAAAAGCCATAAATTCCAAAAAACAAAAAACAAGATGAGATAATCCGCAAGAAAATGAAAATCAAGAGAAAGCAACAAGAATAAACAGCCCCTAAGAAAAATGGAGAGACCATCAATGACCGGAACTACGCGAAGCCCATACCCTGATCGACGTGCTGGACCCCAAAGAGGGCCCGCTGTTCAGGCACATACTCAGAAGCAGAGCTCTCAACGTCCACTCCATCGTCATCTTCATCCACCATGTAGCGCATCATCCCAGGAGCAGGCACAGCAGCCCTGCGAGGCCTCTTCGTGGGACTCACGTCCCTGTCACGCATGATGAGATGATAATCAACACCAACTCGATCGACACCACTGCCAACCTGAGACTCAAGCCCAATCGTCGAACCGGTGACGCCCGTTTCCTCCCGTCCATTCGCATATGGCACGGCACCAAAGGAAGGACGAGAAAGCGACGAATCCTGCTCAAGCTTGATAGGGACACTGCCCACATTCATTCCGTCTTCGAGCTCCTGCTTGATAGGCGACGACATCGCGGGGCCGTTCGCAACACGCTTGCGTTTTCCGGAGCTAGGAGTCGCAGTCGCGCTTCCGGGACCCTTGCGCGGCTTGCGGGGCGTAGACGGGTTGGAGCTGCCGCCTTTTCCGATGCTGAAGTGGCCTTCGGAGCTATCTTTGCTGGATTGTTTGACCATCTGGCGCATGCGCACGAGACGCTCGGTGATGGCGCGTGGGGTGGGGCGGGACTCTCCGGCTGCTGGGGAGTTGATTAGCTTATTTTACGTTGGTGGTTGTTGGATAGATGGTGGGATGGATACGTACGCCATGCGTCGGCGACCTTTTTGGTGTCAACGGAAAGCTCGTGGGTTTCCAGGATTTTGAGGAGGAGCTGGTGAGGTTGATGTTAGAGTTTTGGTTTGGAACGGTTGGGGTGGTTGTGAGGGGGGAGACTTACCAGTTGATCCTTCTCGGGGGTCCATTTCACTGGCATTTTGACAATTGATTAGTTTACTTTGGATAGTGAGTTAGTTATTGGAGGAAAGTAAGTGTGGTTGTTGAGATGGAAGTTGGCGTGGTTGAAGTGTTGTTAGAGGGAAATTTGAGTGAAAGAAGAGGGAGATGGACAGAGACAGAGATGAAGAGAGAGGGAGAAGAGAGAAGAGAAGTAAGAATGAGAGAGAGGATAGTAATTTATATGATGCAATTAGAAGGAAGAAGAAGGCTCTCAGGAGGTGTAGGAGGCCCAAGTGAGAGTGACTCGACACTTCTATCACTGTCAAGTGAAGCGATTTAGGGCTAGTGATTCCCCAGCTCTCCGTGATGCCTCACAACTCCCCCACCTATTTTCTATGCTCTCACTGTGTACCCCCACAACCCTCTGGATATTTACACATCTCTATTTCATAAATGACCAGCGGTGTAAGATCCCTGTCAGAGTCTAGGATGTTCCTGCAGGAGGATCACATCCCACTGGCTGCGGCTTGCAGATCGGCGGGTGCATCGTACTTGGGGTCAAATCTCCTAGATACATCCATTTTGTGCTCCACCACGGCGACCCCGTACAACCACCCCCATTGGAGAAGAGTGGGACTGGGTCTGGCTCTCTATCTGAGGGGTACAAGTGAATGGAGTTTAAGACTAGAGGGGATCCTCACTCTTGGGTGAAGGTGACAGGTGTGGGAATTTCCATCACTGGTACTGTGACCGTGTCGCGTCAGTTCCAGGTACTTATAGGCTGGGATCTCTTCATGGATTTGCTGTGAATGGTTACTTCTGGGTATCAACCATCACTGTTCTCTAACTCCTTGACTTGACTTCTTGTGGACTTGTCAGTTTCTCTCCGCACTCTCCACCCTCTCTCCCGGCTCTTCATCTTGACCAACCCTACTCTCGCTTTATACAGGCTGCGCGCATCTTCTCTCTACCACTCTATCAAGATTATCAACACCATCATCACCACAAACGATCAACATGGTCAACTGGAAGGCCCCCGAATCCTTCGATCGTCTCGTCGGTGCCCTCATCGCCGCCCATCCAGGCCTCAAAGTACGTCTCCCAACGCCCATCCTCCGACAGAATACACAATCAAAATAACAGAAGACTTACATGTCAAAACAGCTCGACTACCAGGCCATGGCAATATACTTTGGCCAAGGATCTACCTACGATGCGATTGAAGGCCGATTTCGTCGTTTTCGCAAAGTGGCGGAAGAATTGAAGACCGAAGCTGCCGGGCGAGGCATCACCTCTCTGCCCCGCGGGCGCAATTCGGGGCCCCGTACTCCCCGGACTCCCGGGGGTGGTGTCTCCAAGCCATCGTCGTCCGGGCGATCCACAGCCAGGGCGAAGAACAAAGGCCTGGCTGCCGTGCTGGACACTCCGACCAAAAAGGGTGGTCATGTCCAAAGTCGTGGCCAGTCCGTGATGAACGCCATCCTCGTGGGAGACAGTGCCTCTGAGGACGAAAATAATATCAAGACGGAGGGTGTCGACTTTCTGTCTAGCTTGACTCGAGATGAAAAAAGAGACTCGGAGCCCGCTGCTCTGCATTCGATCAAGTTTGAGTCGAGTAATACCAACGGCATGATGATGGGAGGCTTTGTTTCTTCTGTCTTCGGTGAGGTCAAACAGGAGTCTCAACCGGCTCATACCCAAGTCTCCACCATGGATATGGACGCCACCACAGCCCCCTCCACCGCAACTACGAACAACCTCGTCGATATGTCTACTGGCTCTTCTACTGTGGCTTCTACCCCTGCCGCCCTCTCTGCCACCACGCCTTCCTCCGCCTCGTTCATGGGCCCGGGATGCGGTATCGGCGACTCGGAAAACTTCAACGACCTTGACGATGCCTTTACCGCGCAGATCTCGACGGGACTATGCTTTACCGGTTATGATATTGATGATTTATATGGGGGTGTTGCATAGGTCGCTTGTCCACAATCTCGACGACTGATGTTTCGTGCGCTCTTAGCTCTGGAAGTGGGAAGGTCTTGTTTCGGGGGGTTTACCTGGTGTTTTTCTTTCTTTCTTTTCTTGCTCTTCGTTGTTTTCTCCTTTCTTGTGCTCAAATGCTCAAAAAATTGGAAGAGATACAAGTCGAGGTCTAATGGTCTTCGTTGGTTGACAAAAGTCCCTGGGTTTTGATTCAGTTGAACTAATGCGGAGATGATACAAGGATCCGTGATAGATCACAAAACTAGTTGCTACATTTAATATCCTTACGGTGTCGACAATATTGACTGCACTATTTGGGCCGGGTGCTTTCCTTAAGTCCACTTACCATTTTGACTGGTATAACAATGGACTGGTATTTGTTTTGGTATTTTGCTGCAAGTGGGGCATCAACTGTACTAAAGTCCGCACACTAGATCATACATAGAGTCGACGCGAAACGCAGTAGATAGAACCGTGTTCCAATACACTTCTCTATACTGTTAGCCCCCCAAAATTGGGATTTCTCAGGCAAACGCCGCATACTCAACCACAATGCAATAAGCCAACGAAATCGAGAGAGATGGCTATCCTGCATAACCGGGCATAATCCGAATAAAACCATCTGTCCCGATTAGGCAAAGATCCCGCTGTCACATGGATACGGCCCCGTGATTCGCCAGCCCCACGTGATGCGCGTCCGCCCGCGTTTTTCGGACCGCGTTCGATGTGGGTCAGGATCATAATCTTCAAAGAAACAGATTCAAAAGGAGAGTCCTGTCGACAGCACGATCAGTCAAGGGAAATCCGTCAACAACAGGCTGAGTTTATCCGGGCCGTTGTTTCAACCTCACCCGGCTGCATCTCCTGGTCAAATGAAGCAAGACTCGCCATGCTCCCCGGGATATATCACGTCAAACCCAGTCCCAATGTGCAGAATCCGATCTCGTCCTTGAACGCGTCCATCCTAGCCTAATATCGCACCTTTGACGCCCTTTTACGACCTCTCTGATACTCAATATGAACTTTTCTACGAACCCTCACGATGACATGACCAACAACTACTTCCGCGGCCTCCTCCGGAGTCCCCGGGCATTCCCCCCATTCGGCTGCTCCCCCGCCTCCAAACGCCCCATCCCCAGCACCCTCGTCTCCTTGTTCCACGAGCGCAAAGTCCCCAGGGAGCTGTCCGATCCGGATCTCACCTCTGACCAGGAGTGCGTCTTGATCGGCCTCCGCAGCAGCTGTCGCATCCACTATGATCTCGACCTGCCCAAAAGTCTCTGGATCGACATCTCCAAAGACCTCTACCGCATCACAGACCTCTTCTATCACTGGACATTATGTCGCCAGCGTCTCCGCCAGAGCATCGCCTCCTTCAAGAAACAAAGAATCTCCCCCCAACCCGGACACAGCCCTATCCACCACCACCACCACCACCCGCACCATCATCCATTAGACGACGTCACCACCGCCATGGCGGAGTTCATGACGGACTGCGACCACCACCTCCAAGCCCAAACATACCTCATCCAGCAGCGTCTCGACCCCGAAAGCGACTACTGGGCCACCCCCGGCCCGAGACAACCCACAGACAACCATCACCATAATATCCACCACGGCCCCCCAACCCCAGACAGCACGGACCGATCCTTTGCCGCATCCCCCTCCATCCCAGCCGCAACGAGACACTGGCTCCGCCGCCCCCAAGACCTCAAATCTCCCAGCCGACCCCCAAGCCGAAAGCGGCCCCGCCAGGACGACAGCAACAGCGCCCTCGGCCGGCCAGCGCAGCGCGCGCGCCTCGACTCCCCCGATAGCGACCTCGCAGACGACGAGTCTGACTCTCCGCGCGACGCCCACGACGCCTTTGTGCGCTCGTTTGAGCCTGCGTTTGCCCGCTTCAGGGATGATCTTGCTCCGCTGTTCCGGGGCAAACAGCGCCGGACACAGATGGAAGCGGAGTCGATTATGCGGGAGATGTTTAGGGATGTGGGGTTGGCGGTGAGTAGGGCTGTGTTACGATGTCATGAGAATCAGTCTTGTTGATTGGTGGGTTATGTATATGAGTTTCTTTTTTTGTCCCTCATTTTTGGATATCTTTGTTTTTGACTTTCTTGTTTATTACTTACTTTTTGGATGATGTCTTTCTTCGTGTTGTACTTTTTTATTTGTTTGCTGTGTCTATAATACTTGTTTTGGTTACTGTATATAGAGAGCTTCGCTTTGATCTATTTATTTACCAGCATCCACTGAGTGGATGCTGTGGAGCTTTGAATACGACTGAATATGAGGATGACAACACGAGTATAGCACCATGGAACTTGAATTCTCCACGTAATGAATGTATAAGTGAGCTAATCTTGACTCGAGAAATTACATTGTAGTAGTCTGAAACTCTCAACTCTGGAGTCGAGCGCTGCCTGGACCAAGTGGTTTGAACGGCCAATATACTGATCGGCCCTACACATCAGCCTTCTTCTCCGACTCCTGAACAATCACCCCCGCATCAGTCTTAACATCGCTGAAATACTTCTTCTTCTCGCGCGCCTCCTCAATCCTCTCGTCCAGTCTTGACTGGCCCGGTTTGGTGTGCCATGGCTTAGGCCCGTTATCGCTGAATAGCTCTTCGACTTCTTCGATGGTTTTGCCACATGTTTCTGGGTATCTGTATCATTTTGTAAGTCAGGCTTGAGATATAGATATTTGGGAGGTGGGGTAGGTCAATGTGAAATGATTGAGACATACGTAAAGAACACTTGCACGGCTGCCCCCACACACATCACGCCAAACGTGATGAACATCTTCCATCGGATATTGGCGAAACCGGGCGGCACAAAGAGGCCGAGGGCGAAATTGAAGAGCCAGTTGCCGACTGCGGCGATGGACTAGAAAGGCGACAGTCAGTTTGGGGGGCCACAAATTATTCAAGCATGCAGTAGAATCACACACCATTCCAGAAGCACGAGTCTCCAAGGACCACACTTCCGCTGCGTACACCCACGCGACAGGAGCCAGGGTCAATGCATAAACGATGATTAGAAGGTACGAGAACGCAATGACGGTGTGGGCCTTGGAGCCCTCCACGCGAACCTGGACATTCAGGTTGCCGTTGATGCCCTCGGGGACGATCTCGCCCGAGGACAGGACGCCGCCGACAACGAAATGGCAGATGGCCATTCCCAGGGCGCCGTACATTAACAGATCCCGGCGGCTGGTCTTGTCAATGTAGAAGAAGATGATGGACGTGAAGATGATGAATAGGGCGTATTGGATGCCGGACGAAATGAGGAGGATGTTTCCTGTGAGACTGCCTTGGTTGTCAGTCTTTGACCTCCTCTGAATATCGGACGAAAGCAAAGAGGGATGGGATGAAAGGAAATGGGGATGGGACGAGTGGGAAAATATGGTATAAGCAGTAAAAAATCGTGGATAATGCATGGATTGGGCTTCATATCCTCGTACCTCGCCATTTGAAAAATGTAGACTACATAATACGTCATAACGTTCGCACCAGATAGCTGTTGCCATGCCTGGACTGTAAAGCCAGCCATTGTTCGTCGCCACATGCCGTTGTACACGAATTTGCGCCATCCGGGCAAAGCCTCGCGCTCGGCAGCGAGGACGGTGGTGATTTCCTCCCATTCGGCGACCACGAGCGGGTCGTCGACGTTGCCGTTAGCCTGGATGCGCGCCAAGGTAAGGATGGCTTCCTCCGCGCGGTTGACTTTGGCCAACCAACGCGGAGACCGCGGCAGGAACGGGAGGCCTATAATCATGATCACGCAGGGGACAAACTGCAGACCCCAGGCGAGACGGAAGGACGACGGACCGGGAATGAACGAACAGCCGTATCCAATGAAGAACATGATCAGAATGCCCCATTCGATGGCTAGCTGCTGGATGACGATCAGGGAGCCACGCTTTTCCTTCTGGCTGATTTCGGCTAGATAGACGGGGACCTGTGACGAGGTGATACCCACACAAACACCATTGAGGACACGACCGGCCATCAGGGTGCCGAATCCGGAGACACCAGCCTGAATCGCTGTTCCAACAAGCCACCAAATGGAGGCAAACATGATTGAGTCTCTGCGACCGATCTTATCCGAGATGGGACCGGCCATCAGCGAGCCGACAACCGAACCCGCCGCAAGAGCGGAGTTGATGGCTCCCTGACGGGCTCCATGTGGGTTGTCGAAGTACTCGATGTATTGGTCTGTTCCGATAATGGCTGACATCGACGAGATATCGAAACCAAATAGCATGCCACCTACCGTCGCAATTAATGCGACGAAGTAGACATTGTATATCTTGGGAAACGTGGGGAGCTTCATAGTGAACAGGACAATCGCACTGCCTGTGCTATGTAGCAAACAAATTTGCCCCAAGGCTGGGGGAGGGGTAGGAAGGGGTTTTATAAAGTGGACATGGGAGGCATATATACCGGGATGAGCTTTTTACTCAACAGAGCGGACAAGGTATTGGAACACCCCGGTGGGAAGCGCACTGGCGCATCCATTCAAGCCGTTAGCCTTGCATCGGTTTTCTCACTATTCGCCGCAGGGATATATTGACACGGGCCAGAAAGGAGTGAGCTTCAGTGGGATGATAGGCTAATATTGCTAGACCAAAGAGCTCTCAACTGGAGGGCCCAATGGAGACATCAGAGCACGGTTCTTCGAAACTCATATCTGCCGTCGTTCCCACCGGGGTTTCACCATCTTTGGAATAAACCACATAACTCAAATACCTTATTGCTAGCCATGACCTCGGTTTTGATAGGAGTGTGGGGGGTGAAGGGTAGCATCGTGGAGTTAAGCGATGCCAGACCTGGCAGTAGCACGTGGGCTTGATTGGAATGTTGGACAAGATGGCGCGGAGTGGCGTTTGTTCTCGAGCTCGTATAGGCTGGGGGGGGAAAGCTAGCTCCTTGGGGACTGAGCGAAGCTTGCCTGATGAGACCACACCGCAGCGCTTTGGCTTCACGTCTGGATTTATCATTGGTGGAAATTAAGAATGAATACAGAGTTTCTGGCACCATTGGGCTTGTTGTGGCTGCAGAGACTGCTAGACATGCAATCTGTAATTCAGCGCCTTATAGATTGTGGTCCACCCGTTGCGCGGTCTGATCTCCCGGGGTTCAGGAGAGAAGAAATTACTTCCAAGTCAGCAGTTATACAGATGGTGTTTGTAGTTGGTGACTCACTACTTACCTCGAGAGTGAGTGCGACGGGCTCAGCAAGATTGATGGCTTGGATCGAGTTTGGAGTCTTGACCATGCGGTTCTTTTGCGACGCGGGAGGACTCATTAGCAAAATCAGCATTTGCCTAAACTAGAAAATGGTGTCTGGGTCTTGAAATGTGGGGGGTGTCGAGGCTAGTCGCATTCCAGGGGTGTGGTTGGGTCAAGGATGAGTTTAGTCTGATGAAGATGAAGGGAGAAAAGGGACGGGAAACGGAAAATGTAGTGCAGCACATGAAGCCTGACCACAAGTCGTGTAAGTATAAAACCCTACGCCGAATTACCCCGTGTATAGTACTACAAGAATACTTACATAGGCACTATCGAAATGACAGTGTCCCTTTAAGCAATGAAATCGAGTTGTCGCGTAAAGTGCCGTCAATTGTACATATGCACGGTAATTATCAAACACGAGAATAGACTCAGTGGCAAAGGCTGATCCATCGGTCAACAATTTCCTCCATGTCATGAGCGATTCCCCACTGGGAAATCAAGCAACGGAATAGCTTCTGCATGGAGTTCATTTCGTACAGGAGGTTCCGCGCTGCCCCGACGCCAGGTAAACTATCCGTTTGCCCTTCCTCCACAAACCGTTTGGTTTCGGTCCGCATCAGTGTTTGGCCGCCGTGGGACCCCAGACTCAAATCAGCGCCGGTCAAAAGAGCATCCTGCCACACAATGGTGGGTGGAAGATGAACAGTGGCGACCCCCGCGAGGGAGAAGACCACGTAAATGGTCGCCGCAGCGAAAAGCGAGCTGGGCATGTGGATAACGTGCGCTCGGCCCCGAGGGAGCTGCTCGATTATATCCTGAATTGCAATTGCATGGAGGAGAGATCGCCGAGCGTCCTCGGTGTTGACCCACTTGGCGATGTCAAATCCTGGCTTGGTTGTTCGAGAACCCGCAGAGACATGCTGAAGGATGTTATATCGAGAGCAGACATGCCTGCAAAGTATGGTAGAGTTCATCATTGTATCTAAGCATATTGTATGTCATCGCAAAAGCACCTCCAGCTTTTCAGGATTAGACAAGCAAATGCTCATAGAGATAGTCTCATGCACCTGGGCCAACGCCTTCCGTACACTGGAGCGATCCGGCACCCCAACCGCGGCATAGTCACTCTCGTCCAAGTCCGATACGAGAGACTGCAGACCCTCGAGAACTACACGGAGGCCCAGAGCAGAGAGTTGATAGTCCAGGGGCTGAAGACTACCGTCTGGGGGAAACAATGAGCGAAAGACCAGTCGGAATGAAGGCTGTTCTGTCTTCTGGCTGAGCATGTGTGCTAGCCACTCGTCTGGATTACTCGCATCAAATGCTGCCTCGGCGCTGGAGAGAATGAGTGGATTGACTAGATGCCGCGTGGATGTCCCGTCACCAGACATCTGGGCTACAAGACCATCTAGGATATGATAGGCAAGCAAGGCACGTTGTTGGATCTCTCTTGCCGCCCAGGTACGCCATTGGTGGTCTTTGTCGATACTAGGTGTGTCTGGACATGGAACATCGTCCATAGAAAAGGGCGCACTATCTATCATGCCACAGTGTCTCGCCCAGGAGAAGCCCATCGGCCGGAAGACCTGGCTCGTAGTGCGGATGATTCTGTTCTACCGAACGGTTTAGAGCGTCATCGCAGAGAGTCATAGTGTGGGGGCGGATTACCTTGGACAACGCGCCGTAGATCTGGCCCAGGAGGGCAGTGATGAGAAGCTGGACTCCTCTGCATGCATCATAGGGCCCGCGGTGTGTAATCAATGACTGCCACTGTGAAGACTTAGCGAGTAAGCTCTTACAAAGGACATTAGAGCATAACATACCGACGTTGCAACAGCTGTGTGTGCGAGATGCCACAGAGCTTCGCCCTGAGACTATGTTCAGTACCAAGGAACAACCTTCGGATTGACTGACCCACCTTCGTAACAGAGTCCTTTGGTCCCAAGTACAGAGACCCAAGGGCCATTGCATTAAGGAGTAGTGGGTGGGTGCATTCTCGGAAGACGAACGTTCCTCGATGGAGAATGGGAAATGTAGGGATGAATCGCACAAAAAACATATGCAGACATTCATCTAGGAAGACAGATGTAATGGATGTAGCTTTGACCGCGGCCGTCACACTCGAGGACTACTAATCGTTACTTAAGGTCGATGATGGGACATCCCAATCTAACTTACCGAGCTATTTACCATCTCCGTTACATCTCGAACAGCCTGGCGACTTCCCCCAGACGGAATGGCACCAATAGAGGAGCATCGATTGTCGAACGAATTGGGAGACCCAAGGTTCAACGAGTGAATGTCCTGCGCAACTGGTGGGAAGGGGAGCGCTCCCAGAGGCATTTGCCATTGGTCAGTGGTATCAGACGATATGATACTTTGAAACAGGTCCTCCGAGTCTGGCCAGATTAGGGCCAAGTCCAGATCCGGAGCTATTGACTCTCGCGCATCCTGATTGAACAGCGGCTCTTCCCACGATTGAGTCGGCACATTGACTGGCGCTGAGGACTCGAGGGGTACCTTGGTGGTCTCCCAACTCGAGAGCGTCTCTGCGTCGGTGGTCTGGGACAGAGTGTCATGGGGGTCTTGCCTCTGGGTCACCTTGGTGATTGGCACACGAGTATGTAATTTCTCGTGTCTCGCTAGGGCATCTTGACGAGCAAATGGTCGGTTGCATTTTCTGCAGATGAATGGCTTCGACCCAGTGTCTTCAAAAGCATAACATTACTCGTCAGCAATCCTGCCCCGGCTTCTGGCTTAGGTAAACGGCAGATGACGATCAGGCTTGGTGCAGGAACCGTATCCATCACGGCAATGCTTACGGCAACGTTCATGTCTCTAGTTGCCGCGGTTAGCCATGTCCCCACCATCGAGAGGGAACAGGAGATGAAGCAGAAACTAGATACCCTCAAATGCTCAGCCTTGGAGAAGGCTTTCTGGCACACGCGACACACCAAGGTTTTCATACCTCGGTTCTACCGAAGATTAGCGGAAAAGAGGGCGACAGTGGTGGTTTGAGTCTTTTTGGCTGCTTGTATGACACTGCGATAGGAAGAAGCTGCTTCAGGTATAAATCCTGGACAACAACTTAGAAATGTACAGTGATGGTCCAAGACCGTCGGCAGTAAAAGCAAAAAAGAGAACTCCGTATAACACTTTCTTTAATCGTAATGCTTTCCCACATTAGTGGATGGTATTGTGTAAGTGGGGAACTACCAATACCCCAGGGAGAGAGAAGAGGAGGATTGGCAACGCCCAGTGTGGGGTGCGGAGAATTCATCGGGTACCGCGCATTACCAGATATACCCGCCGCAACCTAGGGTTATTACAAATCATTACCGAGATAATACGATATATTACACTTTGGTCACGTTTGATCACGAGTCCACTTTATCCTTGATCTTCTCCTCTCTTTTTCTTTCTTTCTTCTTTCTGTCTCACTGTCTCACTGTCTCCTACTCTCTCCTTTCTTCATCTATCCCATCGTTTGACTACAATATATCAATGTACCCCCCATTCGGTTCGGGATATGATTCGGAACCACAATTCGGGACCTACCCCGATGGGCAGAACTCTGTTATCCAAATAGTCAGCAGTTAGTGGAATTGCCAAGAGACTAGCAATGACTTGACCATCGGGGTTTCGCCGTCGATATCCCCGAATCCACATTCCCCAGAGCTTCCTCGGGATGCGGGTGCCAACTGGGGTAAAGACTCGGTCTCTTTTCCGCCCTCGAATCCTCCTCAATGGAGCCGAAGGAGGATTATTGATGGTAGACTGAGTCTGGATCTCGGACCTGGCTATTCCGCTTAGGGATGGACCCAGTCTGATTATTTATGGTTCACCCAATGGACTCGTCATTCAATCGGGCCCCCATCCCGGAAAAATCGGTACGCTAGAGAATGTTGTACTGTTACTTGACAGATGCCGTGGAGACTGTCCCGCAGTCCGCGCCATATTGCTCAAATTCTGGTGCGGGTCTGGAAATACCCCGGTCGGCCAGAGCAAAATGAATCCCAACTGATAGGCCTGCCCATTCAACCCGGTCTTTGACGCGATCCTGCCTCGCTGCGAGTGAAGAATCCAGGTGTTTATAAGAAGAGCACCGGGCTTGCCATCTTTGCTTTGCTCTAAGATCAACCATTTTTCTTCTGCCCCATCCTTCCGTCCCTCTTTGCTATAATTATAGAGCTCATGGGAGAACGGTTGCAGGCAACCTTGATTTGATCTGGATATCGCACTTCCTCTATCCCAGGTTTCCTTGTCCATGCTCTTCCTCATTTCTCCTTCCCCCACAATCTCTACCTCTTCATTGATCCACGGCCGGTTCTTCGATCCGAGGTGACCGCGTCCAAAAGAAGATGCAAAGTTCCCAACATTTCGACTCCCAACCTGTCGACCAGGTCTATGGACTCTCTAATTCTGAAAAGGCCGACGGGGATATGTTAGCAAGCATGGAAAAGGCAACCCAATCCACACACGAGAGCATGGGGTCCCCTTCCATTTCCAAGGCACATCAAGACTATCTGATGGAGCGTCATGGCACGTTGGAACTTGATCCACTTCCTAGCATGGATCCCGCAGACCCCTACAATTGGCCTGCGTGGAAGGTTTGTGATCTTGGTCAGACTTATCCCTTGCGAGCTGCTGGCTGAGATCTACTAGAAACTCATCAATTTGCTCTTGGTGGCATTCCACGCCCTCATGGGCACGTTCGCGGCAGCTGGTATCATCCCAGCATATAAAATGTACAGAACCCCCCCGAAAATCCCAGGGATATACGGTGACTGATCGATGAAACAGCATCTCTGAAGAGTATGGAATCACGATTCAAAAGGCCAGCTACCTTACCTCTCTCCAGATTGCCATTTTGGGAGGGGCGCCATTGTTCTGGAAACCTCTGTCGAACCGATATGGACGCCGCCCCATTTTTCTTATTTCTTTGGTTTGCAGTATGGTGTGTAACATCGGATGTGCAAAATGCACCGACTATGCCTCTACGGCAGCCTGTCGAGCACTCCAGGCTTTTTTCATCTCCCCTGCTTCAGCCATCGGTAGTGCTGTGGTGACGGAGACATATTTTAAAAAAGAACGCGCTCGGTATATGGGCGTGTGGACGCTACTGGTAACCATCGGTATTCCCAGCGGCCCATTCATTTTTGGGTTTGTTACGGAACGAGCGGGTTACGTGTGGATATACTGGGTCCTGGCTATGGTGAGTTACCCTTTATTATGAGCTCCAAATTTTTGCAGACGCAGTTATTGATAGCATCTACACCTCAGATCAACGGCGGCCAGTTCATCGTGTATCTCTTTTTCGGCCCGGAGACTCTGTATGTCGACAGCACCCAAAACACCAACGAGCCCAGCTGGAAGCGAGAGTATCTGTATCTCCGGAGGATCGATCCCACCCCATTCTCGTGGTACGAGTTCGTGAAGCCCCTGACTCTCGTGATGCATCCTTGCGTGATTATACCGGCCGCGGCGTACTCCATGGTCTTCTGTCTCAGCAACGTGCTGGCGACCGTTGAAGTGCCCGAACTGCTGCAGCACAAATTTGAGCTAGACTCGGAGCAGCTAGGCCTACAGTTCCTAGGTCCTATCATCGGCTCATTGCTTGGGGAGCAGGTCGGTGGCACGATGTCCGACCTATGGATGAATATGAACGAGAGGAAAACCCAGCGCAAACCCGAGCCCGAATTCCGGCTATGGCTCAGTTACCTTGGTTATACGCTGTCTATCGTTGGTCTGATCGTCTTCCTTGTCTGCACTGAGCAGGCTCAACCGGGCCATTGGGTCGTTTCGCCCATTATTGGCATTGCACTCGGTTCTGCAGGCAACCAGATCGTCACTACTGTTCTCATCACCTACGCAGTCGACTGCTATCCCACGGAGTCCGCCAGTGTCGGTGTGTTCATCACCTTTGTCCGACAAATTTGGGGCTTCCTCGGTCCATTCTGGTAAGTTCGCAGTGTAAGAAAAACGGGATATCGCGTGAAGTTCGCTGACGAAGGTCTTTAGGTTTCCGCCCATGTTCGAAACAGTGGGCATCGCTGCGAGTTCTGGGGTCGGTGTTGCACTGATGGTCGGTGTCAGCGTAATTCCCACTTTCTTCCTGCAGTGGCTGGGTCGGTCCTGGCGCTCGTCTGGGGATAAATAAACATAGTTGATTGGTGTCAATCGTTTGTTTTGCACAAAGCACGACGGGAGAGGAAGACAGTCCCAGACTGAGCGATATAGACGAAAAGATTTGTACGAATATACCTCTAGCAAAGATGGCGAGAAACATAGATCGGGGCGGCATACTGGACCAATCCGCCATATTGAATTCAACTTACCCCCATCGTAACTTGGAAAACAATCCAGAACGCCAATACTGGTAGTACCGTAGTACGTAATTCCGGCCCTAGCGGGTCATACATTAGGGCAAATGGTTTGGGTTCATAGACACCGTCGGCATGCCACGCCGGCATCCCAGGGTGGCCGACGGAAAAGCGCAAAGCCGGCCAACTGGCGGGCACGGCGAAACACGGGGTTCTTTTCCCGCTCGGTTTCCATTGAGTTTCAGCCTTGTAACTCCGTTGTATTCTTACCCCTTACTTTATCAATGTTTGATGAGTATTATTGGCACTTTCTTCGATGCTTTATGAATACTTAAGCTATTCGCCCATATTTCACGATCTTCTAGTTGTTCACCCTGGCCAAGTACTCGTTCAGTCGGACAGAGTTATGGATTTACCCCACAGGGATAAAGTTATACCCACTCTTGCAGGTTAATGGCTCGTGCATGTAGTATACTAGTGTTCATGGCATGTGATACCAGCGCCCGATCATGTGACATTTGTCCCTTGCTTCCATAAATTCTTGTATAACTATTTTGTTCAGAAAAAAACAGTCAAGACATCCTGCTCACCAAAGTGTTTATTTTCCAGGTGCTCACCGACACATAGATTACACCGATATTGGCCTGTTTTGGCTGATAAAAGTTCATATCACGTGACACGACATGTGATGCAAGATAGTCATGTGACAGTCACGTGTTGATCCGTGCGTCTGCAAGGGGCGAATAAGGTGGCAGCGAATTATTGCACGAGGGATTTCTAATTCCCCATTGGGCCTTTACCAAAGTAACCCAGGGATCGACGTGGAGATGTCCATCTTGGGGTGGGGAATATGGAGGTTGGAGTGTTGGGTCCGCTAATGTATACACATAGGTTACTGTGTTACAGCCTTGGAGCCGAGAAGTGGCAGGGATGTTTATCGTTGATATTCGTGCGGGGGCGTTAATATGCAAGGAAGGTTTTGATGAGATAAGTGCGTGGGTTGGGATAATAGGATGGCTTCTTTTAGGATGTGTAGGTATGTAATAACCCTCCATTCAGTTGGTTGGAGAGAACGCACCAATCAAATAGACTGTGGCTCAAATATTCAAGGCACTGCTTCGAAAATAATCACACATAAAAGAAACGAAGGTATCGGAGGATAGGAAAAGAAAACGTTCTCAATAACACTGGACGAATAGGTCGGGAATATGTACTCATAACAATCATAGCTCCAAGAAACATGCGTGATTCTAGGGGCGCGGGGCCCGGCGCACGGAAAGCTTCTTCCTAGTCAATCGGAATAGATTTCCGTCGCTGGGCCTCTTGTTGGACTCGTAGCCTCCGTCTTTCTCTCTCCTCTTTGTCCTTTGGCTTGTCCTTGGACCGGGGCTTGGACTTGTCCTTTGCAGGATCTTTTGACGCCGGCCGCGCAATGTCATTTCGATTCTCAACTCTGGACTCTAGAGGGTTCTGCCGGAGCTTTTTCTTGGCTTTCTTATTGAGCCGTTTTCTGGATGTACTTCTCCCGTCGTCCGACGCGCCATTGATGGACATTGCCGGAGACTGAGAACCAGGTGTGCCAACTCGGATAGAAGAGCTTTCGCTTTCAGAGTCAACAGACGAGCGACGCGGCCTTTTTCTTGACTTTGTCAAGATAGCTTGCGCCGGGTTGAGTTCCATAAAATCAAGCGTAGAACTGTCAATAGGCTCAGACTCTGCAGGACTCTCCTCCTTAGGGATAGTCGATTCTTCTGGAGCAGGCAGTCTTGGGAAGGCTCCGGCTTTGCTAGGTCCCGGCGAGGCTCGCGCGGAATCCCGGCCGTTGATTGAAACGACCTGCTCGGAGAGGAGCTGATGATCGGCCGACATGGACACCTCCAGACTGTGGATAGACCCTTCCAGGCCCTCTGTTTTCCCAGTCAGGTTTTCGGTAATTGTGTCAAGACGTTGGATAGATTCTTCCACTTCTCGTGTGGTTGTTTCAAGGTATTGTGTGGTTTTCTGTAGCTCTTTGCCTGTGTCCTGGAGAGCGGTGAAGGTATTTCCCAGCTTTTCTGTAGTTCCAAAGAGTTGTGCTATGTCACTAGCATGCGACTGGAGTTTTTCATCATGATTCGTGCTCATGGCCCTTGCATCGGCTATATCTGACTCTAGAGATTTATAATCACCAGAGAGAGACTTCAGCTGGGCATCAATACTATGGCACTGGTTGGTGATCCCATGAAGGTCACTGGTGAGCTGATTGATTAGAGTGATTTGATCGTCTTGTTTTTGGTTCAACTGCCCGAATTCCCCGGCGAGACCATCGAATTTGGTGGTTAGATGATCTCGCTCTGCGCAAATGCTTTTTTGGAGGAATTCGTCGGCCGCCCTCTTAGAGCTGAGCTGCATCTCGGTCCTCGCCATGTGCTTGTCGACCGTTTGTGTTAGACCTTGGAGGTCTCCCTCGATCGCAAAGGGGCCTGATTGGAATTGCCGCACCAAGGGCATGACCGATTGTGCAAGACCCATATGATTTTGGCGTAGTGCGCTTAGGTCACTTCGCAAACCAGGGTCAGGTTGTATTTGCTGTTGTCTACACTGGTCAATTTGTGCCTTCATCAAAGACACTTCTTGGTCAAGTTGCCTTTTTAGCGTGGCAACATGCTCAGTCAGCTGGCCTGCAGAAGGGTACATCTCCTGCATTGCGCAGACCATATTCTTCACGATTGGCTCTGTTGAAAGATTATTATACCTAGCCTCCAGGGAAGAGAGTCCGATTTTCACGGTATTGAGCAAAGCCTGCATTTCGTCGACGGTCGACTCAACTTTGGCAATCTTCTCAGAAGCCGCAGGCGAATTCTTCTGATTGAGGCTGCTCAGCTCTTCCGATACGCGGGCATAAGATCCCTTCAACTCTGTGATTTCCTTTGAGTAATCGGTGAGGTTATTTGACTGTCCCGCCAAGGTCTGTCTTAACTCCGCGATGTCTGCGAAAAACAGATCATCCTTCATAGCACCGACATCTTGCAGGTCTTTGATTGCCACCCCAAGACGGCTGACCGCCGCATTTGTTTGCTCCTGGTGTGGATGATCTATCAGAACTTTAAGTTTTGGAAGTAGGAACTTAAGTTCATCGAGCGAGTTATCACCCTTATGATGAGTTTCTGTAGAATTAAGGAGACGATCAACGTCATCCAGCCGTTTCGAAAATCCTTCAACTTTGACAGCACCAAGGCGCGTTTCATGATCATCCACTTGTTTGATGACTTTTTTGAGTGAAGTCGAGTTTTGACCATTGGATTCCTGTGCTGACTGGATCTTGGCCTCTAAAGCCGAATATTTGTTCCGCAAGTCCTCGATACGAGAGTCTGGAATAAGAGGCGTCGCTGTAGAACCTTGTTTCGATAATCTTTCGAATTCGGATGATAGTTCATCGACACGTTTTGAAAACGCTTCGACATTCTCTGCCAAACCTGACGCTGACTTCATAGCAGTACGTTTATGTGTGGCATCCACTTTCTTTTCGAGAGTCGAGAGTTGTTCTGCAAGAGAACGCTTGTATTTTTCGATCGAGTCCCGAAGAGTGGCGTTCTCGGTTTCAAGTCCGGACATTTTTGCTTGGAGCCCCTGGGTTTCGTGTTGAATGGCAGCTGTTTTACCAATTGATGTTCCGAACGTAGTTCTCATAGCTTTCAGCGACTTGGCAGTGTTATCGGTTTCCGCTGTCCAGTGGTCCCAATCTTTTTTCATCAGGTTTTCCAGCTGTTTGTATTTTGATTGATGTTCACTCAAAGCTTGATCGATTTTTCTCATGTCGACCTCTTCATTCTTGCACTTCTGCCCAAAAAAATCAACGGTAGATGGGAAGTGTTTGGTAACACTGGCCTTTTTTAAGAGCCCACTAGTCGATTCTTTGCGCTGATTTAATTTTTCCTTTTCTGACTTGGTGTTAGCAGCTGTCGCCGCTGCCTGCACCATGTCGGACAGGCTCCGAATGAACTGATCTCCCCCGGCTTCATTCTGGCCGACAGGCGTTGTTGGTACCGGTAGTGTCGGTGGCACTGGTGGTCCTGGTGGTATCTGTGGTGCCGGTGGTGCCGGTGGTGCCGATATCCTAGGTAGTGTCGGTGTAGGCCTTGTAGTGGGAGAATGATTCGGTGATCCCTGTGACGGTTCGCGGGGTCGGAAAGGTTGGGGAGGCATATGAGGCTGGGGTCTCCGGCGCGGATCGCGAGAAATTGGATGATTAGGGTCCATGACAATCTTTCTAGGATCAAATTAACTATCTTATTGCACCCCTACTGGATCAGTTTGATTCGAGTCAAATAAGCTAGATGTAGGCTCGCGGAAACGCGACTTCAAGATGGGAGAAGATCCGTGGTGCGCCTCACCTCCGTTTTCTTTATTTACAAGATGTCACGCGTTTGGCCGTGCACGGACGACAGTATTGACAAAGACCAGGCTCGACCACCATCATAGAGCAGACCCCAATGACTGTTGAGTGAATCTCTGAAACACAACGAGCTCAGGAGAGGGGGAAGTTATGTTTCTCGCCAGTCTGCGACAGATCGAATTTCGTGTATATTCTGCCGGGCGGTGAACCTGGCGGGTTCTTGGCTCCGCTTTTTGTCCTGCGCCGCAGCTCTTTCCTTCCTGTCCCCAGGCCGTTTTGCTGGTGATCCTTCTTACCTGGTAACTGTTCATCGCAAAGTGACTCTATAAGTCGTAGCAATGTCTGCGGTAAGTGTCTATCAGTCTGTGGTACCTCTCATTCTTCCCTATCTAACACCCAGGGTTAGCCAATTTCCACCGTCGCGGAGACGAAAGAGCTCCGGGGTCTGGATCTGATTGCCGCCCATTCCCATATCAGAGGCCTCGGTGTCGATGCGGATTCTTTACAACCACGATCCTCTTCCCAGGGGCTCGTCGGCCAGGAGAAGGCGCGGAAAGCTGCCGCGGTGATCTTGCAAATGGTCAAGGAGGGCAAGATTGCAGGACGCGCCGTTTTGATAGCAGGGCCCCCGAGTACCGGAAAAACCGCTATCGCCATGGGGATGGCTCAGTCCCTCGGATCCGATGTTCCCTTCACTATGCTCGCGTCTTCGGAAATCTTTTCTATGGAGATGTCTAAGACGGAGGCCCTCACCCAGGCATTCCGGAAATCGATTGGTGTGCGCATCAAGGAGGAAAGTGAAATCATCGAGGGCGAAGTTGTGGAAATCCAGATTGATCGGAGTGTGACGGGTGTAAGTGTCTAGTTTTGGTCCCCATGCCTAGGAATTGCGGGGTGATGCTAATCGATGCAGGGTAACAAACAAGGAAAGCTCACAATCAAAACCACCGATATGGAGACGATCTACGATATGGGAACCAAGATGATCGATTCGATGACCAAGGAACGGGTTATGGCCGGAGATATCATATCCATCGACAAGTCTTCGGGCAAAATCACCAAGTTAGGGCGCTCCTACGCGCGTTCTCGAGACTACGATGCGATGGGGGCCGACACCAAATTCGTTCAATGCCCCGAGGGCGAACTGCAGGTTCGCAAAGAGATCGTCCATACCGTCAGCCTTCACGAGATTGATGTTATCAACTCTCGCTCACAAGGCTTCTTGGCTCTTTTCTCCGGTGACACGGGCGAGATTCGGAGCGAGGTTCGAGACCAAATCAACACCAAGGTCGCTGAATGGAAGGAAGAGGGCAAGGCAGAGATCATTCCCGGTGTTCTGTTCATTGATGAAGTCCACATGCTTGATATTGAGTGCTTCTCGTACGTCAATCGTGCCCTGGAGGCCGAGCTTGCTCCGATCGTTATCATGGCCAGCAACCGTGGCAACGCTCGAATCCGGGGGACAACATACACCTCTCCGCATGGGTTGCCTCTCGACTTTCTCGATCGCGTGTTGATTGTGAGTACGGAGTTGTACTCTGCCGATGATATCAGGCAAATCCTGGCCATTCGAGCTCAGGAAGAGGAAATTGATCTCTCACCCGATGCGCTCGCCCTTCTCACCAAGATCGGCCAAGAATCTAACCTCCGATATGCAAGCCACATCATCATCACGTCGCATCTCTTGAGCCAGAAGCGGAAGGCAAAGGAAGTCACCATTGATGATGTTCAGCGCAGCTACCAGCTTTTCTACGATCCCGCTAGAAGCGTGAAATTCGTGGGTGCGTATGAGCAGCGGTTCATTAACGACTCGGGGGCTGTGAGTTTCACTGCTGGTGCTGCTAATGGTGATGCTATGGAAATTTCGTGAGTGTTGTCTGCCGCAACGATTCGACGGCTGGTGTTGGGAAGTTGGGATATTCTTTTAAACTCGCACAACGTGGAAAAAGAACAAGGCGAGAAAGGATCCTGGAGACGTTTGCTCTTGAAAGCTCCCCTGTCCTTTCGCTATCTTGTTTGTTGATTCACCAATTAATGTACGGTTATACTGGCGCTTTTTCTCGGCTCGTATATATGGGCCTTTGAGGGTTGGGTCCGAAGTTAGATCTTTCAAAAGAGCATAGGCCTGAATGATAATTACGAACTTAATCTCCAGAACAATGCGTTAGCTGAAGCTGCACATATAGACCTTGAAGCAGTAGTAGATGATTGACATTATTATACAAAAGTCACGGTGCTGGACCACTCTCCCTCGTCTGCTTTCCGGAATTCCACGCCCTCCCCAAAGTAACCGGCATCCTTCCACGATGCCATTGTAGGACTATCATACGGGCCGTGGATAACACCGCCGTCTCGGGCATCCGCCCAGCGAAACTGCCACATCGTGGCGGCTTGGCCGTCCGCTGTCGACAACTTCGTGTTGTCTTTGGGTGGATCCACCCATTCTTCGCCCGTCTCTCGGCGGTATTGTCTGGTGAGGATCTCACGCTCGGTATCATAGATTTCGTTATTCCCCCTGCCCATGAGGATGTCAGCCGCACCCGTAAGGGCGTCGATGGTCTGCTTCCGAGCAACCTCCGCGGGATCCTCTTCGGTCATTTCCGTATCCTCCGCCCCGTTCTGTTTTGACCGGTTCTTGTTTCGTTTATTTTGCCATTTCGGTTTCTTCGATCCTCCCTTGCCGATTCGGGCCAGGGCATCTAGAATGGTTTCCCCTCGTTGTAGAAGCGGTATGACGGTCTTGAGGGCGTCCGACGTTAGCACGCTGTCTTCCATGCGGTCTTTCTCCTTCCTCTCCGCCTCCCTCTTCTCGGCCGCTTCTCTGGCGCGCCGCATATCCTTCTTCGATACTCCCTCCAGCCACGAATCGTGGACAGCGTCTGGATCTACAGCTTTGCGGACGTAGTTGCCCGCTTCGTCGAACCTGCCCTCCTCCTGCTCATCCCGCATGTTGAAGGCGTCCAATAACGGCGCATGCTTCTTCTTCGCTCCCGCGCCCAGTTCTTCATCAATATCGTCGCCAATCCTAGCGCGGTCTTCCTCGCCGATTTCGCTCTCGCTCTCGCTATCGTCTTGGTTCGCGGCGGCGGCGGGGTTGCGTAAATCCGCATGCAAGGTACCTCCACTTTTAGAGGACGCGACCTGGCCCTCGATCTCATCGTCCTGTAAAAAGCGCACGTTTTTCTTATTCTTCTCTGCTGTCTGATCGGCGTTTTCGTCGCCAAAGTCCTCTTTCAACTCCGCAAACATGTCGTCGTCGTCATCCCCATCTTTCGCCTCGCGAGTGGTCTTGGTGTGGGCGTGTCGCGCATCGAAACCCTCGTTGTCGCTGTCTGATTCGTAGCCGTCGAGGTTGACAGCTTTGCGACGCACTTGCTGGCCGCGCCGGCCGATCTCGTCCGCTTCTAAAAACTGGTCGTCGTCCAAGGCGTCTGGTGCCAAAGCGGAGGGATTGCGCAAGTCGAATCGGGGCTTTTTCTGCGAGGGGCCATCGGGGTCGTCTTCGATATGGTGGGTGCGCGCGAAGTCTTCACCTGCCCGCTTGGGGCGTGGCTGAGAGCCTGACATGGGTACTAGAGCGATCAAAGAAAAGCAGGCAGAGTGCGATCACAAAGGAGGGTCTGTCAGACTGTCACAAACGAGTGTACTCAATGAAAGGAGCGGGGAGCAGTGTAGAAAACAAACTGCTGGTTGCACTTGGTCCGGGGTCGGGTCGGAAAATCCAAGCGGAGGCATTTGCGTCACTGGCGGGCGATAAGGCCGACCGCCCGCTCTTCTGCATCATCTCCATCCTCTTTCTTCATCTTCTTCGACAGCTTGTTTTGGACGAGCTGTACGTGTACTGTCTATCGTCAAATATTGAATCGCTCAGATCTTGATTGTCTTTCTTCAATCCCCCGGTCATATTGCATTCCCATCGCCCGTCATGGTCAGCTACCCCCAAGCTCCGGTACCTAGCAGAGTGAACGCCATACTGATACCCAGCTATAGTTCCGATCCGGTTATTGGGACGATGACCCCATGGATGGGGTCCTCGGCTCATCGATGCTTCGCCATGGAGCGTCGCGTCGATTTGACGAGTACTACCGCTGCTATCCTGTCGCCATGATGCCAGGTCCCGAAAGAGAGAACGTCAACCATGGCGGCAAGGTCCTCATGCCTCCCAGTGCTCTGGACAAATTGACACGGCTACACATCACTTACCCGATGCTTTTCGAATTGAATAATGGTGCACGAGAGAGGACGAGTCATGCGGGTGTCTTGGAATTTATCGCTGAGGAAGGAAAGATTTACCTGCCGTTCTGGGTACGGATTCCACATTTCTTTTCATTTATTTTCTTGTCGCTTGGACAAATACTGATGTATCGGGTGTCCACAGCTCATGCAATCTCTCCTTCTCGAACCCGGCGATCTCGTCCAAATCAAATCGACCGACCTTCCTCCGGGACAGTTTATCAAGCTGCAGCCCCAATCAACCGCCTTCCTCGACATCAGCGACCCCAAAGCCGTGTTGGAAAACGCGTTCCGGAATTTCTCATGCATGACTAAAGGTGATATTTTCACATTTGCCTACAATGACCAGGTATATGAGATGGCGGTGTTAGAGACGAAACCGAAAAATGACACGAATGCGGTTTCCGTGCTGGAGACCGATTTGGAGGTCGACTTTGCACCCCCGATTGGATATGAGGAGCCCCAGCGACAGAGTGGCACAAGCACCCCGAGAAGCGGCGTGAACGGGAAGCTACCCGCTGGCGGTTTACTCCACCCACACGGTACGATGGCACAGTCGATCAACTATGCGGCGATCGCGCCGGAGTCGACCGAGATGGCAGCAGGCGCAAAGGCGGCATCGTCGAACTTCGTGAGTGGCGGGCATCGTTTGAACGCGAAGAAAGGCAGCAAGACCCCAACCCCGAAGGCTTCCACCCCGGTACCCGGAACCAGCAACCCCCAACAGCCCCCTATCGTGCGAAGGACGAATGGGCCGCAACCCCTCCGTCTGCCGCCCAATCAGTTGTTCTTCGGGTATGCCATCAAGCCCGCACCGAAGCGTGATGAGCAGGGTCAAATTGTCGAGGAAGAAAAACCGCGGTTCCAAGGCGCAGGGCAATCGCTGCGGCCGAAGAAGAAGGATGCCGGCGGATCATCGACCCCCACTTGATGTACCCGCGCCGGTGGCGTTGGACAGATCACTCGCGGTTCCCAAACCTGGCGCATGGAGTTCACAGACGAGGAATGGCACTTGAGAACCTGCCACCATCAAATCCAGATTTGACGACATCTTCTTGTTCTATTAGTAGTCCATGACTGTTGCCTTCCCTGGCCTTTAACGATCTCGTGGAACATGACTATCATCAGGTATAGCCAGGTAGCGGCTGATTTCAATGAGCAGATGATTCACGACCTTGGTTAGTCTTCGTGCTATTTGCTGCTACGTCGCCCGTTGGTGATCTTATAACGAAGTAGGCCGTACGGAATAGCTCCATGCCGGTCTGTAGTGGTCTTAGCAACATTATAAACAGGAACGGAGAACAGTGTATCGCGTGGCGAGTCAGTTATCCTTTGGTCTAGATCTGTAGATACTGGAGCGACGATCACGGTAACACATGGGGATCCTTGCCGAGGATCGCCGTTCCTCGGTCATCTCCCATCGTCCGCCATTTCTCCTCCACTCTATCCCACCTCTTTATCACTTTTTCCTGTGATGTAATCTTGACTTTCCTGCACCGTACTATATTCTTTCCAGTCGCGTGGTATAACGGCAGATTAAACTCGCCTATACCGCATATACCGCATATCAAACCCACACTACGCGAATGACCCGGTCACTCGGAGAATAACAGCCGAATCATAAGCAATATTCATCAAATCAGTCTTTTTTGCTGCGCCCCAGTTGATCGTGGGGAGTGAAGCCAGCTGTTATCCCGCAGTCCAGGCCAGCATCACCATCTTATATCAGAAACTCACCACAAACCCTTCAACTGCCTCTACCATAACGTAATAACCACCCAACAACGCCAACCACTGCGCGACAGATCCAAAATGGCATCGCCATCCCACCCCCTCGCGCACTTCACCAAACTCTCCTCCTCCATCTACCTCCAAGAACCACAAGTCCTCCCACCAGTCAACGACACCCACGACGACGCCCAAAATGGCGCCCCCAAAACCATCATCCTCGCCTTCTGGATGAACGCCCCCGCGCGCGCCCTCGCCAAATACGTCGCCGAGTACCGCCGCTTAGCACCCACCGCGCGCATCATCTTCATCCTCAGCTCCTCCAACGACTTCATGCTACGGTTTACCCAGTGGGCGCAAGAAGCGCGCCTCGCTCCAGCCGTTAAAGCCCTTCTCGCCTCTTCACCCTCCCCTTCCCCCTCCTCCCCTTCCACCCCAGAAGAGGGGCAAAACACCGACACCAACAACCCAGTCTACATCCACATGTTCTCCAACGGCGGCGTCTTCACCACAATCCACCTCCTAGCAGCCTACCGCAAAGCAACAGGCGGCACACCGCTCCGCGTCTCCTCAACGGTAATCGACAGCGCCCCTGGCGAGGCAACCGTAACCGCAGCAGTGAAAGCGCTATCCTTCTCACTCCCGCGCACATGGATCCTCTACTTCTTCGGCCGGTTCCTACTCCGCGTCTTCTTCACCGTGGGGTTCCTCATGCGGAAGGTCAGCGGCGCGCCGGACGCGGTGAAGGTCGCGCGCAGGGCGATCAATAGCGCGAGGCTGGTGCGCGGGCCTGTCGCCTCCCCCTCTTCATCCTCCTCCCCGGCGGGTCTGAACACGCTTCCTCGTCGGTGCTATATCTATTCTGATGTGGATGAGCTTGTTGATTGGAGGGACGTGGAGAGACACGCGGATGATGCGGAGGCGAAGGGATGGAAGGTTCGGAGGGAGAAGTTTCTGGGCACGGATCATGTGGCTCATATGAGGGTCGATCCGGAGCGGTATTGGGGGGTTGTGAGGGAGTATTTGTTTACGGAGGGGGTTGTTGGGTGATTTTCTACTTTCGTTTTTATGGCTCTGGTTTGGTTTTTGGGGTTTTTGGGTTTTCGTACTACGGTTGATGCTGTATGGTTTATAGATTTGTTGGATGGGTAGAGACTGATATGGAGTCTAGAATATGGATAGATACATACGCAAGACTAGGCTGATCGGATAGGATAGCCTAGAGAGTTTATATAACGGACTGTGGTTACTGTACGGCCAATGTATAGGAGAGTAGCTGAGATATAGGCCTGTGGTTTTCTACAGTCATTTCAGCTATTAGTAAGAAAGAATGAAAGAAAAATCAACAGCAAGTAACCACTGTTATATAATTCACACCAATTCTAGGCATTCAGTGTAATCACCCTCGCTATGCATGCAACCATATATACAAAGACGGCAAACGCCGCCCCGAACACAACACCAAACGAACAAACTTTTCGGTACCTTTCCCATCCGACTCGAAAACAAAGTGTATATCAAAGAAAGATAAAATATATTTACCGCCCCCTCGTCTCAGGGAACTCATCCTCCAGCTTCAACCGCGCCGTAACATTCATACTCATCAGCTCCTGAATCAGCAGCTTCGCCGCATAAGGGATAGCCATCTTAACCACACTGCGCGACGACTTGCACCGCTGACACCAATTAAGGTAGCCCATGAAGCCGCACTGCTCGCACACGTCAATCTCATGGCGATCCGACGAGATCATCAGCCGTTCGAGCAGGAGCTGACTGGTTCCGTAGGCAATGAGACAATCGCGTTCCATTTCACCCAAACGGAGACCGCCGTCGCGGGAGCGACCTTCTGTGGGCTGGCGCGTGAGGATAGCGCGCGGTCCGCGCGCACGCGAGTGCATCTTGTCTTGCACCATGTGCTTCAGCTTCTGGTAGTAGATGGGGCCCGTGAAGACGTAGAAGGGGAGGGCTTCGCCGGTGATGCCAGAGGTGAGGTAGTCTTTGCCACCGTAGCTGAAGCCCTTGTCGATGAGGATCTGCGACATTTCTTCGACGGGACTGCCGCCGAAGCAGGTGCCGTAGCCGTGGCGGCCGGCCATGACGCCGGCTTTGCCGGCGACGAGCTCGAGCATTTTGCCGACTGTCATTCGGGAGGGGAAACCGTGGGGGTTCATGATGATGTCCGGGTTGATTCCCTGGTCCGTGAAGGGCATGTCGGTTTGGTCGGCGATGATGCCGACGACGCCCTTTTGGCCGTGGCGGGATGAGAACTTGTCGCCGACTTCGGGGATACGCGTCTGTCGCGTGAGCACCTTGACGAGCTGGTTGTCGTTTTCTTGCACGGACACCATGACCTTGTCGATGTAGGCTGGGTCGGGGAGCTTGTAGGTCATGGGCGTTGACATGTACTGGACGGGTCGGCCCGAGTCGGAGCCGGGGAACCCGGACGACATGGACTGATCTGGCGTGGCTTTGTTGATGTAGACTTCTCCGGAGTTCACCTGCTCGCCGACGGCGGCTAGACCGTCTCCTTCGAGCAGCGCGTGTTTCCGGATGGGCGCGCCGTTGTCGTATTCGGGCGGGCTCAGCCGGTCTTTCGTGCCGTTCGGGTAGCTCTTCAGGTTCGTGACGTATTTCCGGAACACCTGGCAGCGTCCGAAGCCACGGTCCACCGATCCCTTGTTCAACACGAGGGCATCTTCGATATCGTATCCCGAGTAACTCATGACCGCCACAATCGCGTTCTGCCCAGCGGGCAGTTGGTCGTATTTCGTCAGTTCGATCGTGCGCGACTTGACCATGGGCTTTTGCGGGTACACCATGAGATACAGGATGGAATCGATCCGGAGGAATTGGTTCGACGCGATTGCGCCAATGGCTTGTTTACCCATCGCACATTGGTAGGTGTTACGCGGGGATTGGTTGTGGTGCGGGTAGGGAATGAGACCGGCGACAGCACCGAGAATGGTGAACGGCTCGATCTCCATGTGGGTCGTAGTGTCGCTGATATCCTTTTCGTAGATGGCGATCAAGGAATCATTTTCCTCGTTCACATCCAGGTATTCTACCAAGCCCTGGGCAAGGAAGTCATCGAACTGCATGCTACCGTCGCGCAGCTTTACAAGATGGTCCGCGCTGACCTTGGACTTGCCGTTTTCAACAATGACCAGCGGCCGACAGATGCGACCATCATCCGTGGCAATGTGTACAGCACGCTGGTGGTGATTGATGTATATACTGACGAATTCCGAGATCCGGCCCATCCGACGCAGTCGGCGGAAAGCGTTTAGGAAATACTTCGGGCGACGAGTGAGGGCTAACGGCGTACCGTTAATCGAGATCGTGTAGCAACCAGGGCCGTATATTTCCTTGCCACCGAGCGTAGAGATATCCTCAGCACCGAGCATGAAGATGAGGTTTCGTATCGGGCCTTCTTCATCGTTCGTGGTGATGTGGGTCATGAGCGCCAAGTTCTTCACGAGACCGCAAGCTTCACCTTCGGGCGTATCCGCCAGACACAGCATGCCGAACTGAGACGGTTGCAAAGCACGAGGGCCGGAGACCTTTCTCGTCTTTTCAAACTGACTGCTAATACGGGTCATCATACCCAGGGCCGCGATATAACTGAGTCGACTAAGCACGTGCGTGACACCCGCACGCTCCATGCGGAAACGCTTCAGACTCCAATTACCGGTGGAGATGGCGCGGTTCATGCCTTGAGTAATGTGGTTGGTATGCATGCCCATGACACTCCAGGCATCAAACTGCTCTGCGCGGTTCCGTTTGTTCAAGACCTTGTCCACGTTCATCTTGATGTCAAAGCAGAACTTCTTGAACAGATCCTCAAACAGCAAAGCCAGCAGCTGACCTGCCAATTCCAACCGTTTGTTTCCGAGATAATCGCGGTCATCCACCAAGGCGGAGTCATTCTTGGCCATCAACACACGTCGAGCCATATGCGCCACGTAGACAGCCTTGGGCCGGAAGTTCATGTTCTTGACTTCAATATGGGATATGATGACGGAAGCGATGGCTTCAACCGCCTCTTGGATATGGGTCCGACGGTACGACATCTGTTTGCGGTTGATTTTGATCCGCGAGCCGATCCAATCCAGGGCTTGCTGCTGGGTGAAGATGCCGAGCTTGATCGCTTCCTCGAAATTGATCGCGAAATCTTCCTGGTACACCTTATCCATGCCGGCAACCAAAAGCATCATCTCCTTGTCGGTATGGATACCCATCGCCTTCAAAAGGATGACGATTGGAATATCTTCACTCAAAACGTTGTGCTTGACATAGAGCTTGTCTTTCTTCAAGATAATATAACTCTTCGATTTTCGCTCGTTGGAGGAACTAGGAAACCACGTCAGCACTCATTCTTCTCTAGTCACCGGCAATGCGGAATCTTCCCTACCTTGTCACCGACGCCTGGACGATCTCCTTCTTCGGGTCGGTTTCCACGATGATTCTGTTTTTACTCAGCTGCTCCTGAACCAGGATGACCTTCTCCGTTCCATTCACGATGAAGTAACCACCCGGGTCGAGGGGGCACTCGTTCAGGACCGTCATCTCGGTGGGCGACTTATTCGCCAAGGCACACTTGGAGCTGCGAAGCAT